GATGCGGGACTCGATCCCAGGACCCTGGGATCATGACCTGAGCCGAAAGCAGAGGCTTTAACCCACTGAGCCACCCAGGCGCCCCTCCTCCTAAGTTCTTATCCTCAACCTTGGTATATACTTCACAAATTTTAAACTTTAAGTTGAATTTATGATAATTTAATTAAAACATAATAGAAATTTTTGTTCAAAATACCATGGACTACATCCATGTTTTAAATTTGGGTTCTCTATGCCATTAATTGCCTTCACTGGGATTTCATGCCTAAGACCAAGAAGCCTAGAGCTATGGCTGTTGAAGTTATTTAGGAAGAGGACTAGATTGGGTTGGTATGGGAAGGGCATATGTAACTGTGTCCAAGAACAGAGGAAATAAAATTTGAAGGAACTGTTACTTGGAATTTTGCCTGACAGACTTCCTCATTCATGTAAGTGCTCTGACCTTTGTGTTGTAGAAATTCTTTTCTATGATATTTAGGAAACAGTTGCTTTCAACTGTGTTCAGAACCTTCAAGTGCTTTTCTTAAATCTCTAATTTTATATTATTTAAAAATAGTATTTATTGATATGGTTTCAAAATAATATCATTATAGACTATTTGAATAATGTAGCAAAGATATGAAGAAGATGAAATTAACTATAATCATATCACTTAGAATTAATGTGTTTTTAAAAGATTTTAGGGGGTGGGGCAGAGGGAGAGGAACTCAAGCAGACCCTATGCTGAGTGTGGAGCCCAGTGTGCAGCTTGATCCTTCGACCCCAAGATCACAGCCCATGCCAGAACCGAGAGTCAGATGCTTAACCAGCAGTGCCACTAGGCTACCCTAGAAGTAACATTTTGATGATTTTTCTTTCAGTCTTCTCTTGCACATTTTACATAGTTGGCGTTTTTTTTTTTAAAGATTTTATTTATTTATTTGACAGACAAAGATCACAAGTAGGCAGAGAGGCAGGCAGAGAGAGAGGAGGGGAAGCAGGCTCCCCGCTGAGCCGAGAGCCCTATGCAGGCTTGATCCCAGGACCCTGGGATCATGACCTGAGCTGAAGGCAGAGGCTTTAACCCACAGAGCCACCCAGGCACCCCCATTTTACATAGTTTGATACAGTATATGGTGTCCTGCCTCACTATCTGTACTTTAATCTTCCAAATAGTATTCCTTTCTTCCCTGAGAATTTAACCCTTCATGGGTCCCAGTGTTTGCTTTTGCGTAGCAATCTTTGGATACTCTCTAGTTAGACTGTGTCTTTAACATATTGCATTATTTATTTACATAGTATAGTTTATACATATGTAGTATATATGTATAGGTAGCATATACATTATAGTACATACTTAACATTACAGTATAGTATTTATATTATACTATCTACTTACCTTATAGTATATGTTTGCAATACTGTCAATATTTTATCTGATATGGTCAGTATTATTTCATATGCACACAAACTAGTTAAATGAATGTTAATTAAGAAGTGATGTTTAAAATGCTTTATATTTAATTTATATATTAATATATTTATATTTAATAATCCTAGATGCATAGTTATTCAGACTTGTTTAATGTTTGGGAGTATTGGATGGGCTGGTCTGGGACACCTTTTTTCCGCCTTTTATTTTTTATTTATTTATTTATTTTTAAAAGATTTTATTTATTTATTTGACAGAGAGATCACAAGCAGGCAGAGAGGCAGGCAGAGAGAGAGGAGGAAGCAGGCTCCCTGCTGAGCAGAGAGCCCCATGCGGGGCTCGATCCTAGGACTCTTAGATCATGACCTGAGCCGAAGGCAGCAGCTTAACCCACTGAGCCACCCAGGCGCCCCTTTTTTCCACCTTTTAAAAAGTCTCTTGGTATCTGTGCAGCACATTTATAAGAATGGATTGGATTTGGAAAACAAAATTTACCTATATTGTGTATCCTTTGCTTTCACTTTGATTTCTGCTTATGTCATACATTTCCCTGTGTCATCAAAAAGTACTTTGTAAGCATATTCCTTCTTCCAGTTGTGACATAAAATATTTACCTAATTTTTTAGTGTTGAGTGCATTAGGTGGTTTCCAGTATTTTTCTCCTATAAATAAGTTTCAGTATCTTTCCACATGTGAGCCTTTGTTTTGGTCACCACTGTGATTTAGCTAATTCTTTTATCTTTACCCATTTAATATGTCATAAAAAGGCATCTCATTATTTAGTTTTTGTTTCTATCTGAATGAGGTTAGCCTACAGAAGATGTTTTTTGATGCAAATGGTGCATATGCATTTGAGAAACATTCTTATAAGAAAAAACCTTTGAGAAAGCCTTGGAGGTACTTTACCGCTAGGTAGTCTTCTAGACTTGGCAGCCTGTTTGACAGAAGTCTGTTATCATCCAGGTAATCAGGCCCAGGAAGAACGATAATAAAATCATAAATGAGCACTAATTTTTAAAAATTAAATTTTTAAGCAGTCAATCTACTTTACTACCTTTAAACACAATATCTAAAAATCACATTCATACATTTAATTTTTTCTGTTTGTGAAATTCTTTTTTTTTTCTTTTTTTGCCTCAACTCCTCCAACTGACTACAAGATAAAAAAGCTACTTCTCAAGAAGTTGTTTCTGAATGTGGTAAAAATCAACAAATCATTTCTTCCATATCAGGTGTGCTTTTTTTCTCTTTTTTTTTTTCCTGAGAATAACATTACTAATTAAAGACTGTTTTTCGGATGACCAAACAAGAGTTACCACCATCCATAAAAAAGCAATAAAACCCATCAATTGATTGAATAGAGATAGAATGATAATTTAAATATTTTCACTTTCCTTTTTTCTAGTTTCTGGGTTGTTACATGGTTTAAATTCAAGCCTTGGTACCAAGTTTCCAGTATTCAATATAATAAGAAATTATATTTTGCATTTGAAATTTGAAAGTAATATTTTATTAAAAATAAAATGGTAGGAAGTAAAACTAGAGTCCTAGTGAAGGGATTTTGGAATATTGGTGAAGTTTAGTGGGGTAAAATTTGGAGCCGATGACCAAGAAAGAATTCTTGAAACATCATTGGTGCAAAATGGTGATTTAATAAAGCATGAGGACAGGACCCGTGGGCAGAAAGAGCTGCTGCCTCAGGGTTGTGAGAGGGGTGGCTGATTATATATTATGGGGTTGGGGGAGGTAAGGAAAAACTGAGGTCTTTTGTATGTTAAAGAAAATTCACGGAATACAGGAGGCCTTGCCACTGTCAAGTTAAAGTTTTCCCTCTAGCAAAGCATTAATAGGAAGATAGTTGGGAACTTCCTGGAGGATCCTTTCACTCTGCCCTCTTCCAGTATCTGTCAATGGGCTGCAGCTTATAAGGATATTGTATCTACATTTCCTCCTGGAAGCTAGGCCATTGATAGAAATGCTTCATTTCTGTAAATTGCTAAGACATTTATAAACTGAGGGAGACTCAGTTCTTGCAGGATTGTGATCTCTACAAGTTAACTATGTTTTTCCTTTCCTTAGCTTTAGGGTGGCCAAGAGTACATGAGGAATGTCACTTATATCCCATGGGGGGGTTTTGTGGGGTGTCCGCTTCTGCTTTGTCCCCAGCTTGGCTTCTTTTCCCTCATCACTAGGACAAAAGGCACAGAGACCATTTGCTGACGTATTGTGATAGGCTTCTTTAGTATACTTTTGAATAAGAAGCTAATGACTTCTATAAAATTTAGATGTTAAACATTTTTTAAGTGGTAAAATTAAGCTATGGGCTCTGTGAATATACTAGAAACTACTGAATACTGAGTTTTGCCATTCTATTCTATTCTGTTTATTTTATTTCATGGAGAGTGCACACCCTAGCAGGGGGATGGGGAGGGGTAGAGGGAGGGGATGAGAGAGAATCTAAAGCAGCCTCCATGCCCAGCACGGAGCCTGACTTGGGGCTCAATCTCATGACCCAGAGAGCATAACCTTGTTGCGGAAGTTCAGAGCCATCGGAGAAGCTCAAGTGGCACGCAGAGAACTGGGAGAACAACTGGGAGAGCTTTATTAACGCCGGTGGGCTCAGTGGGATCACTCCCAAAGTCTGAGCACCCAGCCTTTATTGGGACAGATATTTATAGGCAAACTAGGGATTTTTCATGGTTTCGCACAGCTGATTGGCTCAGGGTCACAAGGTAGTTCTTAAAGCTATGCGGAAGTGACTTGGTGGAGAAGTGCCAAGTCATCCTCGGTGGCTCCTCATCTCAGTGAGGTGGCCATTTTAGGCTTTTCCGCCTCAACCTGAGCAGAAAAATCAAAAGCCAGTTGCTCAACAAACTGAGTCACCCAGGCACTCCTGAATTGTGCCATTTTAAAGGGTGTAAATTATATCTCAATAAATCTGTTAAAACAAATGAATAACAAGAAAAAGCATTGACAGTAAAAAAACAAATTAGCTATAGGTTAATTTCCTAAACAGGTTTTCTTGCAATCTCCTAAACAAACATGACTTAATATATCTGAAATGGAAATAGGAAATTACAGCATTTTCCTTCTTTCTTTTTTCCTTCTTCTCATGGGGCTTGAGATCACAACCCTGAGACCAAGACTTGAGCTGAAATCAAGAGTCGAACACTTAACCAACTGAGCCACCTAGGAAATTAACAGCATTTTCTTGACATGACTTAGATACTTTATTATCCCCGTGAATCATTCATATGAAAAAAGCAATAATCAGTCTCTATTCAACTATGAATTACGTTACAGCAAATTGTTTTTAGAATAGAATAGAATTTATTTATACCTGTGAAACTTCTTAGATATTTTTAAAAGATTTTATTTTTAAGTAATTTCTTCACCCAAAGTGGGGCCCAAACTCAGAATCCTGAGATCAAGAGCCACACACTCCACAGACTGAGCTAGCTAGGTGCCTCCTACTTAGATTTTTAACAAAAAAAAATTTTATGTTGTTTGTTGCTGACTTGTTATAAATGCTAATGACTTGGAGCTATTTACAGATTTTTTTTATATTCCTGATTTTTTTATTTTCTTAATTTTCAGAACATGAACCTTTGAATGTTCCTCAAGTGTTGGCTCCCGATGTATGTCTAAATCTCAAACTTCACACTGAAATTTCAGAGGAACCTTCGTTACCTTCACTGTCTGATCTGGTACTAAATTTGATATTTCTATTCAGAGGTTATAATAATACATTTGCTAAAATTTATTATGGTCATCTGCATCATTTAATTGTATAGATGAAATGAGGCTAAAATGGCATCTATGTAGCTTTGTTGGAAAGATCAAAAAATTAAAATTTAAATACTATGCCCCAAAGTATTGTAAACTAAGACCATAACACATACTTCCTGCAGTTTTCCCTAAGTTAGGGAAATACATAAGCTCATATAAGCTCTTTTTGCCTTTAGAATTAATTATTATTATTATTATTTTTAATTAATTAATTTTTTTTTTTTTTACAGGGGTGAATGGTGCAGACTGGTTGTACAGAGTAAAAAGAATATAACCCCTTTGATTTTACGTGTTTTGTTTCAGGTTAGACACACTTACATAAATGTGATTGATATTAAAGCTGATGATCTACAGGAACTGCCTGTCAAAGAGGGGCCTTCAAATGATACTATTATCAAACAGCCAAGTGATCACCTGGAGATCCCATCTTCTGCAGAGTTACATTATAAGGCAGCTTCAGTTATAAATGCTGTTCCCTTGCACACTGTTAAGACTGAAGGTAATAATTTTTTTCTTACTTTTTAAGTAGATTAAAAACATTTAAAAAATTCTTTAATATAGCATTTTTACCCCTTCTTAAGTCTCTTAGCTCTTTTCCTGCAAACCCACTATATCTTTGGATGTTTATATTCACATTTAGGAATGTTCTTTTGTGGGGGAGGGCAGAGGAAGAGGGAGAGAGAATCTTAAGCAGACTCCAAGCCCAGTGTAGAGCCTGATGTGGGGCTTGATCTCACGACCCTGAGATCCCGACCTGAGCCACAATCAAGAGTTGGAGGCTTAACTGAATGTGCTACCTGGGTCCCCCTAGAAATGTTCTATTAATCTTCTAACTACCTTGTTTAGAATCAGTCTTTTCATGCTTTTCATATTCTTGATAGAGTCAGCCAATTCCACTCTGGATTTATTTTTTAAATCTGCAAAAATGTCTCCACCCTGTCTGGATGAAAGAAGCTGGAGAGCAGGCAGTACAGAGGTGAAGAACCCTGGGATCGCCTCACCTATACCATCAGAATTACAGCAGGACAAAGGTGAATACCCTCAACGTCTAACATGACTCTCGCCTTTTCTCTAAATTACTGATATATAGAAATGAGTTCTAAAACTTGGTAATTGCAAAAGAAACCAGGAAAAGTTTTTTCCTTTGCTAAGAAGAGTGTGGTCAGATAGGTAAATTAGGTAGCGTCATGGTTCCAAAGCTGGAGCCCCTGGGTATTCCGCGAGGAGACTACAGATCTATTTGTACATAGGTCTTTTCTTTTCTTTTTTTTTTTTTTTAAAGATTTTATTTATTTATTTGACAGAGAGAGAGCACAAGCAGGCAGAGAGGCAGGCAGAGAGAGAGGAGGAAGCAGGCTCCCCGCTGAGCAGAGAGCCTGATGCGGGGCTCGATCCCAGGACCCTGAGACTACGACCTGAGCCAAAGGCAGCGGCTTAACCCACTGAGCCACCCAGGTGCCCCATAGGTCTTTTCTTAATTGAAGAGGCTAAAAATAAACATCCTATGGGATGTCATGAGTGCTTTGGTATTAAAAGGGAATTCTCATATTTAAAAAAAGTGGGTGATGGGACGCCTGAGTGGCTCAGTTGGTTAAGCGGCTGCCTTCGGCTTGGGTCATGATCCCAGCGTCCTGGGATCGAGTCCCACATTGGGCTCCTTGCTCAGCAGGAAGCCTGCTTCTCCCTCTGCCTCTGCCTGCCTCTCTGTCTGCCTGTGCTCACTCTCTCTGACCAAAAAAAAAAAAAAAAGTGGGTGATTCTAGAATAGCATGTAGAAAATACACAGGTATTTAGCCAACAGTAAAATATTATAAGTAAAATACTCAGTTTTAGAATTATAAATTAGGTTGCATTTTTATAAAATATTTGCAAGATTTAGAAGAATATTTTCCAAAACCTAAAGTTATTACATCCTATGAATGATTAGATTACTCTTCTTTTTGGAAAAGATTTTATTTATTCATTTGATATAGAGAGATATAGGGAAAGAACTTGAACAGGAGGAGAGGCAGAGGGAGAGGAAGAAGCAGACTCCCCGCTGAGCCAGGAGCCCAACACGGGGCTCGATCCCAGGATCTGGAGATCATGACCTGAGCCGAAGGCAGATGGCCAAACATCTGAGCCACCCATGTGCCCCGAATAGATTAAGCTTAATAAGCCATCGGATTTCTTCCAACTGAAAGCCAATATGGCTTCTGGGTTCCATAGCTCCTGGGCGGGACACCCAGCCTTGTGGTTTTCAGATGCTTGGGGTCAGAGTACAGCCCTGTCTGCTAATTGTATATCAACAGTGGGCACTCAGGAGATGTGAGGGTATAGGGAAGGGATGGGTAGCAGGGAAACCTCACCTTAGGATGTGTTAGGGCATGTCTGTTATAGCTGTGTATACCAATAAGTGCCAGAATTTCAGATTTTGAAGCCTTGGCCCATTCTCTCTCCTGTCGTGGGGCTGTTTGGTGCATGGGTATTGAAGGGAGAATGTATGAAACTAACAAGTCTTTTAGGCTGGGAAAGTGTGTGGGGAAATGAAAAGAGCTTGACTTCTAGGTTCAAGTAGAACAGACCTGGTTTTTGGTCCCAACTCTATCACTTCATAGTTTGGATACTTTTTGCAAGTATATTAACTTTATCTGATCCTTACTTATATCTCTGTGGGACACAACCTCATAGAGTTGTCATGTGGGTTACATCTAGCCAAATGCCTGTGGGCTCTCTGGGCTGTGCAGTCAGTTGAGTATCTGACTCTTGGTTTCGGCTCAGGTCATGATCTCAGGGTCATGGGATGGAGCCCTGCGTGGGGCTCTGCACTCAGTGCAGACTCTGCTTAAGACTCTCTTCCTCTCCTTCTGTCCCTGCTCCCCATGCTCACTCTCTTGTTCTCTCCCTTTATCTAAAATAAATAAATCTTTTTAAAAAATGCCTATCGGCTAGTTTCCCTTCATTTTCACACCAGTCAACTTTTGAAATTCTGCCAAACTGGAACCAGATCCATCTCTCTGTGACCCCTGAATATCCTTGGCCAGCATTTTAAGTGACCATAAGCTAGCTACAGATTAATTTCCTTCATTAGTCAGATCAAGTCTATTCAACGTTTTGGAAGATCATTCTCTGGGAAGACTGGTTACAAAAATATGTCAGTGTCCCTTATTAAAGAGAACAACTTTAAATTGCCAATTTAAAAGGATGTGTTTCATATTTTGAAAATAAATTCCATTATGGTTTTTACATAATATACCATAAAGATTCAGAATCTTGTTACATAATAGAGTTGAATGGGATTTGTATTATAGAAAAAGGTTGGGAGGAGGAGGGACAGATTCCCTAGGTATTTAAAACAAAAGCAAGACAAGTAATAAATTCCTACTTTTAGTGATACTTGCTCACTATTTTGAATGACAGTAGTTTCCTATTTTAGAAACTATCTCCAATAGGAATGCTTTCAGCTATTAATAACGAGCAGAGCTTTGCTGGCCAGAGGGAGAATTTTTCATCAGTGGAGCTCAGTATTTAACCCTTTAGGTGATTTTTCCTTTTTTTTCTCCCCCTATTTTTTTTTTTTAAAGATTTTATTTATTTGACAGAGAGAGAGAGAGATATCACAAGTAGGCATAGAGGCAGGCAGAGAGAGAGGGGAGGAAGCAGGCTCCCTGCGGAGCAGAGAGCCCGATGCAGGGCTTGATCCCAGGACCCTGAGATCATGACCCGAGCTGAAGGCAGAGGCTTTAACCCACTGAGCCACCCAGGCGCCCCTTCTCCCCCTATTAGTCAGTGGGAATAGAGCAGATTCTCCAAAGAAAGGGAAGCTATTTTCATTATGTATGTAGACCATTCTGGATTTTGAACACGTCCAGCTCTTTTGCCAAATTTTCTCCTTGAAGTTTGTATACAAAATTCTCTCCTGAGAATGACTAAGGGAGATACTTCAGGCTCCCAAAAACAGGAAGGACAGATGGTAAAGTACTGTGAGAGTCAAGCTAAAAAAGGTAAGGCCAGGCGTACCTGACAGGCATGATCAGTAGAGCATGTGATTCTTGATCTTGGAGTTGTGAGTTTGAGCCCCTTGGGTGTAGAGATTACTTAAAAAAAAAAAAAAAAAAAAAAAAAAAAGGTAAAGCCAGAACAGGTAGTGGAAAGTGATACAGTGGCCATTGCCTGCATCGCAGTTTGACATTATCCTGTCATGGGAAACCTCACACTAGACTGGGACTGAAAGGTAAGAAGCACTACCTACACTTGTTTAGTGATTCACATCTTTCAGAGTATTTTATTGCACAATTCAGTCTTCACAAAGCCTCTCTAAGTTAGATAGATCAGGCATCATACTCCTCATTTGACCAACTAGTCAATAAACACTAAATGAAGGACCAGATCTTGGAGCTTAAGAAGAGCGTAATTAATATCGGGCTCTCTGCCTGGGCACTCACCTCGGGGAGGAAAGGAAGGCATAGAAGCAGAGGATTATGATACAGCATGGCAAGTGCTTTCAAGGTGGTATGGATGAGATTCTTGGGAAATGCAGCATCTACTCCATCTCTAGGGAGGATGGGACATTTATCCCCATTTATTCCACTGAGACACCTCAGTGGAATCTTAAAGGGAAGTGGGACTTAGAGAAAGGTCACACAGAGTGAGAGACTAAATTGTTCAGTGATGTGGAGGTTCCATGGAGCCTGCAGAGGCTGAGAGAATTAAAGTTTGCTTGGAGGCAGTGAAGTGGTTTTGTTTGTTTGTTTGTTTAAGACAGCAATAGATGAGCTAGAGAGGGAGATAGAGGAAAGACTGAATGGCATTGTCCTCATACTGAGGCCTTTGGACTTTTAAGATGAGGTATTAGAGAAACACTGAAGAATTTGAGGTGGGAAAGGAACAAAATCAGATTTGTGTTTTAAAAGATCCGTGTGGAAGGTGGACTAAATAGGGGTAAAATAAATTAGAGATAGAGATGCTGTTTGGGGTCCAGCTATTGTGAAAGCTTCAGCTAAGCAATGGTAATAGGAATGGAGATTTTGGTTGGTAATCATCAATATTCGGTATTACTTTGGATCTGAAGGAAAGAGAAGAACCTCGAATGATTCTCAGTCCTCTGGCTTAGGAACATGGTGAATGAGAGCTACTAACTGAACTGGGGAATCAGGAAGAGGGAGAAAGTTGGAGGGACAGAGCAATGAATTTCAGCTGATAGGCTTTTGGAACAACCTAAATGAGATACCCAGGACATAGGTGGATTTAAGGGCTGGCGCTCATGAAAATGCCATGTGAATTTGAGAGTCATCTGTGCTTCGGTGACCCCACCCAGGGAGAATATGTAAGAGAGAAGTGAGCTGAGAATGACACCCTGGAAGTGCTGATGGGTCAGAGGGGTGGGAGGGCCGAAGAGTAAAACGATAAGACAACGAAGAAGGAAGAGCAACAGAGGGAGAAGGAGACCCAGAACCCGGAAAAAGAACACATTTTATAAAAAGTGCTTGAGGGGTGCCTGGGTGGCTCAGTCGTAGGGCATCTGCCTTTGGCTCAGGTCATGATCCCAGGGTCCTAGAATCAAGCTCTGCCTCAGGCTCCCTGCTCAACAGGAAGCCTGCTTCTCCCTCTCTCTCTCCCCTGGCTTGTGTTCCTTCTCTCACTGTCTCTCTGTCAAATAAATATATAAAATCTTAAAAAAAAAAAAAAAAAAAAAAGGTGTTTCAAATTTGGAACAAGGATCAATTGAGTTTAAGAGTTGGGAGGGTCAGGGCGCCTGGGTGGCTCAGTGGGTTAAAGCCTCTGCCTTCGGCTCAGGTCATGGTCCCAGGGTCCTGGGATCGAGGCCCGCATCGGGCTCTCTGCTCAGCGGGGAGCCTGCTTCCTCCTCTCTCTCTCTGACTGCCTCTCTGCCTACTTGTGATCTCTCTCTCTGTCAAATAAATAAATAAAATCTTAAAAAAAAAAAAAGACTTGGGAGGGTCATTGGCTTTGATATTGGTCTTGGGAGGTTTAATGATAGCCTGAGATCCCACGTAGAGTTGGTAGTAGCCTACAGTAGGCCTTGCTTTTACTATGTGACACTGGTGGTTTTCAAGTAGAGTTTTAAAACAGTCAAAAATAGGGGCACCTTGGTGGCTCAGTCAGTTAAGTGTCTGACTCTTGATTTCTGCCCAGGTCATGATCTCAGGGTCCTGAAATCAAGCCCTACACTGGGCTCTGTGCTCAGTGGGAAGTCTGCATGAGCTTCTCTCCCTCTGCCTCTCCCCTCATGCTCTCTCTCTCTCTCACTCACTCTCAAAATGAATAAGCAAATCTTTAAAATAAATAAAAAGTCAAAAATATTAAATAATGTTGCTTTTTAATGAAGTGTGTTTTTATTGCAGAGGGTAAAATTATCATTCAAACTACCTTGTGTGTGGAGTTTTGTGGTAATAGCAACACTATTATGTATTCTTATCTCACAACAGACAGCTCTCCGAAGTTGAGAAGCTGAAGTGTTATTTCTGAGTGTATTGAAACAGATTTGGAAGGGAGTGTTATTTTGACTTAAAATGCGGTCTTGAAAAAAATTAGATCATCAGCATTTACTTCTCCCTTAATTCTACTGAATTCTAATATTGATTACCTTTATTAATATTTAGATATGCTAAAGCCAGATTTTCAAGCCAAAGAACAGAACTCGAAGTCAGCTGCTGCAGAGGATGACCCGCCGTGGGAGCTCCTGCAGGATGTGTCTGCAGCTCGCCGCCTAGAGCGTCTCACCTCTAAGCTTCAGGAAATTGATGAACAGCTGTTAGCAATACAGAACATTGCTGAAAACATAGAGCAGGATTGCCCCAGATACAAACTGCTAGATCGACATTGTGATAAGGTAGACAGACTGTCTTTATTTTAGCTAATCGTTTGTTACTGAGTTATTAGATTTGGAATTTGATGTGATTTTAGACATTTGTTTTTTTAATATAATAGGTTTTTTTTTTAAGCTAAGGTTTCTCAACCTCAGCATTATTGATATTTGGACCAGATAATTCTTTGTTGTAGAAGACTTGTCATATGCACTGTAGGATTTTTTTTTTTAAGATTTTATTTATTTGACAGGGATATTTGATAGCATCCCTAATCTTTACCTGCTAGCTTTGCTGTAATAATAAAACAATGTCGTCAGGCATGGCCAAATATTCTGTGGGGAGCAAGGTAGCCCCCAGTTGACAACCACTGCCTTAAGCTTCTAAGAAGTGAACCATTGCTTCCTACCAGGAAAAGAAATACATGAATTAGAAAACAAGAAAACAAGAATGTGGTTTTAAATGAACCCTGCTCATAATTGAGTATCATTTTCTTCAGCAGGATTTTTTTAACTTTATAAAAATGCTGTTGTCTTTATATTTAGAATTCTCAGTTTCTTTTAAATATTTTATACAATGGGAATAGTAGTCCTTAGACGTTTTCTGTATCTTTAAAAAATACGCATAAGAATGAGATTATTTATGTGTATTGGTATATCACGGTAGTTAGACAAATAGAAAGTCTCAAACATGAATTAATTATTTTGCACAAACTGTTTTTTTAGGAAGTAAAATTTACATAAAATTAAGATTAAGGAACAAACAGTAAAAATATCTTGAATGTGTTAAAGCTTTATATTGGGAAATGCAAATTGGTCTGCAGGATAAAAATTCCATCATTGACTTACCTAACAAATATTCTAGGTTGCTAGCTGGCTGATATTTTAAAAGATGTGTTTATTAGGTTTATAGTATTTCTTTAATTCAAACATTTAGCACATATTAAAAAGTTAAGATTAAACTTAAGTGAAATCACACAGAAAAAACATAAGGTGGGACTACTTTTAAGTAATGATATTATGTTTATTTGATTGTGTCCTTTTTTTTTTAATCCAGACTTAGATCTAGCACTTCAAAATAAGTGTTAAGTGTTAGAGTCATCTTTGCAACTCCTTATTCCAAGGAATCACTTTCAAAATGGCCTTATGTTCTTGTATATTAAGCATATCCAGAGCCAAATATGTCTTGATCCTGGCTTGCTCCAGAGTCCCAAGAATCGTTTTTTCATCAATAAACATTTATTAAGCTTCTGCTAAGTTTTGGGAATAGAACGATAAATAAGACATACATAGTCATTACTTTCAAGCAGCTTAGAATCTAACAAAAGAAGATAGATGTATACACCAGTAAAAACATATGAACAGGGTGCAGTGAGAACACAGGTGCACAGGACAGGTTGTGGCTGGACAGTGAAGCTATAGCATCAAAGATGCCTTTATAGAGGTGACTCTGGAATTGGTAATGAATTGATATTCACCAGTTAGGTAAGGAAAGGCTGATGAAACATTGTGAGGTAGAGGTTGATGATACTGGGCTTTAGGACATTTGGCAGTAAAGGTAGGTAAGGGTAGATAAGTGATGATGGAAAGTATTGTTTGCTATGTCAAGTGATTAGGATTTTTTTCTATACTATAAATAGGCAGGAGGGAACCACTGAAGAATTTTGGGCAGTGAAATGGTGTGATCGGAGGCTCTGGCAGCAGCAACGGGGAGGGCAGATTGGAGAGGATAAGCCTGAGGACAGGGAGGTAGTTGGGTCACCGTGGTTCTAAACTGGCTGCTCTTTAGAGTCATCTTGGGAGCTTGTTAGAAATGTAGACTTGTGGGCCCAAACCCTGAGATTCTGATTTTAAGTAATTCTTTGGTGGGACCCAGGAATTTGTGTAATTAATATGCTTCATGAATGGCTCTTATGCAGCTAGCTGTATACTGCATTTACTGATTGATGTTTGGGACTCACTATATACCAAGCTAAGAAGTAATGATAACCTGAACTTTAGGATTGGAGTTGGAGAAGGATGTAGCAGGACTCAGAGGGTGATTGGCTCTGAAAATGTGAAAAAGAATAGTTTCACAGTGGTATCTAAATTTTGAGCCTGGGTAAATGGTGGAGTCACTTTCCAAACTAGGGAAGAAGAAGACCGTGTGTTTTGGGGGAAGAGAGGCACAGTGATTTTGGTCAGAAACATCTTAAATTTGAGGTATAAGATTAGTAGCAGTTGGATATATGCTTCTGGAGCTTAGAAGCTAGAGTTGGGTTGATGGTACAGATTTTAGACTCCTTACAAGGAAGTTCAGATCATAACAGGGCACTCACCCAAGGAGTATACACTGAATGAGGAGAAAAAGAGGGTAAAGGACAGAATTCTGTGGATGCATGAACTTTTAAAGATGACTCGACAACAAAGCTTGAGAAGGAGCATTCTGAAGTAGTTAAGAGACTCAGGAGAAAGCAAAGCAAAGAAAGAGTTTCATGGAATTTCCATAGGGGAGATGTAAAGATGGTGGAGGAGTAGGGGACCCTGTTTCAACCCGTCCTCTGAACTGAGCTAGATATCTACCAGACCATTCTAAACACCCATGAAATCAGCCTGTGGTGTAAGAAGATATATCTGGAGCTCTACAAGCTGAATATCTCAAGCGGGGAACTTTTATTGGTAGCAGCGGTGAAAGGACGTTAGGACAGCCCCCCAGATTGAAACCTAGAGCTGCAGGGATGCACGTGCGAACTGGGGGTGGCTAGTGGTTTTAGAAGCACAAAAGGCAGAGACATGCCTGGACCTGGAAGCAAGGACTAGCAGAGCTGCTATGGGTGTACAACCCAGAATACTGTGTTTTTTAGCAGTACAGACAAAAATGGAGACAATGTAGCCTGGAGAACTTACTGAAGAACAGACTGTGATTTCTCTGTTCTGAGATAGAGATATGGATACGGTCACTTCTACTCTGACTTTCAGAAGAGATGTGGAAAGCTGCCAGGAAAAGCTGCCAGAGAACAAAAGCCCGCCAAAACTGGTTTTCACTGAGCCCATTTCCTCCCTACAGGAGTCAGGGCAGCTCTGCCCAAACAGGGTTGCCTGAGTAACAGCAGGACAGGCCCCTCCCACAGAAGACAGTCTGAAAGAACAAGAGGCCGACAACCCTAAGATCCCTATAAAAAAGGTGCATCCTGCTTGGGTTGCAGTCAATCATTTGGACTCTGTACATTCCCTCAACCACCCGTCAACAGAATGACTAAGAGAAGGAAACCTTAACACAGGAAAAATTCAGAGACTGTGACCTCTGCCACAGAACTAATGGATATGGTTATAAGCAAGATGTCAGAAATAGACTTCAGTATAACAGTTATGAAGACAATAGCTAGGATGGAGAAAACCATTAATGGCAACATAGATTCTTTAAGAGCAGAAATGAGAGCTGATCTGCCAGAACTTAAAAATGCTATTATTGAGATCCAATCTAGATACTCTAATGCTAGGGTAAACGAGGCAGAAGAACAAATTAGTGATCTAGAAGGCAAACTGATAGAAAAGAAGGAACAGGAGGAGGCCTGGAACAAACAGCTTAAAATCCATGAAATAAATGATGCCATGAAATGTTCCAGGGTCAGGATTATTGGGATCCCTGAGGGGGTGGAGAGGGAGAGGACAAGAAAATACATTTGAGCAAATCATAGCCAGGAACTTCCCTAATCTGGGGAAGGAAAAAAGCATTCATGTCCTAGAGGCAGAGAAGTCCTCTCCCAAGATCAATGAGAACAGACCATCTCCACAGCATGTAATAGTAAAACTCGCAAATCTTAGAACCAAGGAAGCCATCTTAAGGGCAGTTAGGGGCAAGAGATTCTTTACGTACTGAAGGAGGAACATCCGAATAGTATCAGACCTGTCCATAGACACCTGGCAAGCCAGAAAGGGCTGGCAAACATATTCAGGGTACTAAATGAGAAGAATATGCAGCCAAGAATTCTTTATCCAGCAAGGCTGTCACTCTGAATGAATGGAGAGATAAAGAGCTTCCAGGACTGGCAGACACTAAAAGAATATGTGACCACTAAGCAAGTACCACTAAGTCCTGCAAGAAATATTAAGAGGGGTTTTATAAAAGGGGAAAGACCCGAGAGTGATACTGAACAGAAACTTACAGAGATAATCTATAGAAACAGGGACCTGACAGGCAAGATGATGACAATAAAATCATATCTTTCAATAATCACTCTCAACGTGAATGGCCTAAATGCTCCCATAAAACGGCACAGGGTTGCAGAGTGGATAAAAAGACAGACCCATCCATATGCTGTCTACAAGAGACTGTGTTTGAACCTAAAGATACATCCAGACTGAAAATGAAAGGACAGAGAGCCATCTTTCATGCCAATGGACCTCAAAAGAAAGCTGGGGTAGCAATTCTCATAGCAGACAAATTAGATTTTAAGCTAAAGACTGTAGTTAGAAATACAGAAGGGCACCAGATCATTCTTAAAGGGTCTATCCAACAAGAAGATCTAACAATTGTAAATATCTATGCCCCCAACATGGGAGCAGTCAACTATATAAGCCAAATGTTAATCAAAATAAAGGGGACATATTGATAATAATATGTTAATAATGGGAAACCTCAACACTCCACTCTCAGCAATAGATCATCTAAGCAGAAAATCAGCAAAGGAACAAGAGCTTTGAATGACACTCTGGACCAGGTGGATCTCATAAATATATACAGAACATTACACCCTAAAACAACAGAATACTCATTCTTCTCAAGTGTGCATATAATTTTCTCCAGAAGAGAGCACATACTAGATCACAAATCAGGTCTCAACTGATACTAAAAGACTGAGATTATTCCCTGCATATTCTCAGACCACAGTGCTTTGAAACTGGAACTCAATCACAAGAAAAAGTTTGGAAGAAATTCATACATTTGGAAGCTGAAGACCATTCTGCTCAAGAATGTTTGAGTCACCCAGGAAATCAGAGAAGAACTAAACAATTCATGGAAACCAATGAGAATGAAAACGCATCGGTCCAAAACCTATGGGATTCGGCAAAGGATTTCCCCCTAAGGGGGAAATACGTAGCCATCCAAGCCTCACTCAAAAGAGTAGAAAAATCCTGAATACACAAACTATCTTTACACCTTGAAAGACTTGGAGAATCAACAACAAATTAAGTCTAACCCATACAAGAGAAGGGAAATAATCAAGAATAGAGCAGAGATCAATGAATTAGAAACCAGAAATACAGTAGAACCAACACATCAACGAAACTAGAAGCTGGTTCTTTGAAAGTATTAATAAGGTCATTAAACCACTGGCCAGACTCATCCAAAAGAAAAGAGAAAGGACCCAAATTAATAAAATTATGAATGAATGGGGGAGAGATAATGACTAACACCAAGGAAATAGAAACAATTACCAGAAATTATTTTCAACAGCTATATGCCAATAAATTAAGCAACCTGGAAGAAATGGATGCATTCCTGGAAATAAAAGATTTCCATCCTGGAAAACAAGATCAATAACTAGCAACGAGATTGAAGCAGTGATCAAAAACCTCCCAAAAAACAAGAGTCCAGGACCTGATGGATTCCCTGGGGAATTCTCCCAAACATTCAAAAAAGAAAAGAATACCTATTCTCCTGAAGCTGTTTCAAAAAATAGAAACAGAAGGAAAACTTCCAGACTTTCTTTGAGGCAGCATTACCTTGATCCCCAAACCAGGCAAAGACCTCATCAAAAAGAATTTCAGACCAATATCCCTAATGAATATGGATGCCAAAATTCTCAACAAGATCCTAGCTAACAGGATCTAACACTACATTAGAAGGATTGTCCACCACGACCAGGTGGGTTTATCCCTGGGATGCTAGGGTGGTTTAACATTTGCAAATCAATCAATGTGATAGAACACATTAATAAGAGGATAGAGAAGAACCATATGGTCCTCTAAATTGATGCAGAAAAAGCATTTGACAAAATACAGCATCCTTTCTGATTAAAACTCTTCAGAGTATAAGGATGGGGGAACATTCCTCAATTTCGTAAAATCCATTTATGAAAAACCCACAGCGAATATCATTCTCAGTGGGGAAAAGCTGAGAGCCTTTCTCTTAAGATCAGGAACACGACAAGGATGCCCACTCTCACCACTGTTGTTCAACATAGTACTAGAAGTCCTAGCAACAGCAATAAGACAACAAAAAGAAATCAAAGGTATTCAAATTGGCAAAGAAGACGTCAAACTTTCTTTCTTTGCAGACAACATGACACTTTATGTGGAAAACCCAAAAGACTCCACCCTCAAATTATTGGAACAGCAATTCAGTACTGTGGCAGGATACAAAATCAGTGCACAGAAATCAGTTGCCTTCTTATCCATTAATAATGTAAGTGTAGAAAGAGAAATTAGGGAATCAGTTCCATTTACAATAGCACCCAAAACCATAAGATACCTTGGAATAAACCTAAGCAAAGAGGTAAAAGAACTATACTCTAGGAACTAGTATACTCTAGGAACTAGTGAAAGAAATTGAAGAAGACATGAAATGATGGAAAAACTTTTCATGCTCATGGATCAGAAGAATAAACATTGTATACTGTCTATGCTGCCCAGAGCAATCTGTACTTTCAGTGCCATCCCAATCAAAACACCAACAGCATTTTTCAAAGTGCTGGAACAAATAATTCTAAAATTTGTATGGAACCAGAAAAGACCCCAAATAGTGAAGGAAATGTTGAAATAGAAAAACAAAGCTAGGAGCATCACGTTGCCTGATTTCAAGCTCTATTACAAAGCTGTGATTACCAAGACATCATGGTAGTGGCACAAAAATTGGCACATAGACTAGTGTAACAGAGTAGAGAGCCCAGATATGGACCTGCAACTCTATGGTCAAGTAATCTTTGACAAAGCAGGAAAAAATATCCAATGGAAAAAAGTATCTTTAATAAATGGCACTGGGAAAATTGGACAGCTATATGCAGAAGAATGAAACTCAACCATTCTCTCACACCATACACAAAGATAAACTCAAAATGGGTGAAAGACCTCAATATGAGACAGGAATCCATCAGAATCCTGGAGGAGAATACAGGCAGTAACCTCTTCGACGTCAGCCGCAGCAACTTCTTTCAAGACATGTCCTGAAAGGCAAGGGAAACAAAAGTGAAAATGAACTTTTGGGACTTCATCAAGATTAAAAGCTTCTGTACAGCAAAGGAAACAGTCAACAAAAAAAAGAGGCAACCCACAGAATGGAAGAAGATATTTGCAAATGACACTACAGACAAAGGGCTGATGTCCAAGATCTAAATAGAACACCTCAAAAACTCAATACCCAAAAAAGAATTAAGTCAAAAAATGGGCAAAAGACATGAACAGACAATTCCTCAAAGAAGACATACATATGGCTAACAGACACATGAAAAAATGTTCAGCGTCATTAGCCATCGTGGAAATTCAAATTGAAACCATTGAGATACAACTTTACACAAGTTAGAATGCCAAAAATTGACAAGAAACACCAAATATTGGAGAGGCTCTGGAGAAAGGGGAACTCTCTTACACTGTTGGTGGGAATGCACATTGGTACAGCCATTTTGGAAAACAGTGTGCAGCTTCCTCATAAAATTAAAAATAGAGCTACCCTATGACCCAGCAATTGCACTACTGAGTATTTACCCCAACGATACAAAGGTACAGATGTAGTGAAAAGAAGGGCCATATGCATCCCAGTGTTTGTAGCAGCAATGTCCATAATAGTCAGACTGTGGGAAGAGCTGAGATGCCCTTCAACAGATGAATAGATAAAGAAGATGTGGTCCATATATACAATGGAATATTACTCAGTCATCAGAAAGGATGAATACCCAACTTTTGCATCAACATGGATGGGACTGGAGGAGAATAGTCTAGGTGCAATAAGTCAAGCAGAGAATGTCAGTTATCATATGGTTTCACTTCTTTGTGGAATATAAAGAACAGCATGAAGGACATTAGGAGAAGGAAGGGAAAAATGAAGGGGGGATAACCAGAGGAGGAGATGAACCATGAGAGACTATGGGCTCTGGGAAACAAACTTAGGGTTTTAGAGGGTGGGAGGTTAGGGGGATGAGTGAGCCTGGTGATGGATATTAAGGAGGGCATGTATTGCATGAAGCACTGGGTGTAAATCATGGAACACTACATCAAAAAATAATGATGTACTGTATGGTGACTAACATAACGTAATTTAAAAAAAAAAAAAGGAATTTCCACACATCTGTATCCATTAGATAAAAGGACAGCTGTGCATGTTGTGATCTTTTTCAAAAATATACATGCCAGCCCTGTTGAATCTGGGGTGGTAGGCTGGGGACAGAGGAAGAGCCAGTGGCTTGGCAGCGGGGAATGTGTAGATCACACACATACATTTTGAAAAAGTTCCTAAAAGTTCTGTTACAGCTCCCCTCTCACCCAAGCCTTTTAATACTGGAGGATAGGGACCTTGCCTTTTGCTTGGTAACATGGCAGGCATTCAATACATGCTTATTTAATGGTTATCTTTGCTCTCTTGGTTTTAGATTCTGAGAGTAATAAGATCCCATTTATATAATAAAGACTTATCACCTGAACAGTTACTAATAATAGTATGCAAGCCTAGGAGACTATTTCAAAGGAAGAGTTCTCAAAGGAAGGTTGATCAAACTCTGTAAGTATTTAGTCCGCTAAGGTGACTACTTTGAAGGAACTAACACTGATTTCAGTGAAAGATTTTGGGATATTGTTTTACAATGTTCTCATCCTATTATAATGCACACATAAATACAAAGATTTTGGCTCATTTATTTTAATTAAGAGAACAGACTTTAAGCCTGGAAGAAACAGAGGAATAATTGTGGACAAGCGCTAACTAGGGGCTTTGAAGACCTCAGTTCAAATCCATGTTCTGCCACTAAGAAAGTCACTGAATTTTTCTGGGTCCTGTTTTCTCATTTATAAAATGAAAGGTTTTGTCTAAATGGTAGCTAATGTTCCTTCCCAATCTAAACTTACATGATGTTGTTTTCCTTAGGATGCCTAAAAAGATTAAATCATTTAGATTACAAATAAGTTAAAATTTCCTGCTCTTCATCCATCCCCGCATTTAGCTCTTACTGGATTTAGTCACATTTCTTTCATTGTCACCCAAATATTTAAAAGGTACATTACCCTAATATTTAAAAGGTTATTTAACAATATTGTGAAATTATCAAACTATAAAATTTTTAAGTATTTTGTTGTGTGTTTTTCTGTAGGTCGAACCTAAAGATCACATTGAATTGTCTTCTAGTCCTGAATCTGAAAAAACATTGGCTTCAAAAGCCATTGGCATTTCTGAAGGTGTGTATGTTACAGGTGGGGGTGGGATGGTGGGGGAGTGGAGTGGGGAGTGTTGGTAGAGGACACTGAAGCCTTGCTTTGAAAGAATAAGCATTGGCCTTTGAGAGCTACAGAACTAGGAATAGTTTTCATTCGTGAGCTGAAGCCCATAGTCCCTTGTTAGATTGGGATTATTCATGTGATAATGTGATTGGCTCTCACCCAGGCCATTCCCCGACCCCCACCCCACCCCAGAATCCAATGCCCAGCCTCCTAGAGTGGGGCACTGCCCACCACACGCTTGCTGAGGGCTGCACAGAGCTTGGTGCTGAGGTTGCTGTTTGCCCCGGTCAACTGCGGAACTGGAATTTGAGGCTCTGGTTAAATGGCCAGGCAGTGGTGAAATAGAATATGTTTGTATTTCTTACTGAAAGAATGAAATTAGGGTAGTTACTTAAAAAAATTTCTACTGTGCCTATAGTTGTTTATCTCTACATTCTCTTTAATTCAGTCTTGTCAGCAACTTAATGCAGTTTTCTATTTTTTTTTTTAAACAGACTTTGGTTTGATTCTGTCATTTAATTTTCTTTTTCATAAATTTCTACCCCTTAGCTCTATTATTTCTTCAGTTTTTGAGGGCTTAAACTGTTGACTTTTTCCTAACTTCATTCTTTTTTTCTAATATATGTATTTGAAGCTAAACATGTTCCTGCAGGGACACAGACAAGAGTGTTGATATGCACCATGTTTTGGTGTTGTTTTGATCTAGTTTGTAATTTGTATTAAGATGTTTTCTTTCGCTCATGAAAGGGATTTTTAACTTCTCAATATTATGCGGTTTCGACTATATTTTTAACTTACTCTCATTTTCGTTGCATTTTGATTAGATGAGTGTATGATAATAGCAACTCTTAGATGTTTGTTAAAATTTCCTTTGTGGGGGTGCCTGGGTGGCTCAGTAGTGAAGCATCTGCCTTTGGCTCAGGACATGATCCCAGGGTCCTGGAATCGAGCTCCCTGCTCAGCAGGAAGCCTGCTTATCCTTCTCCCACTCTCCCTGCTTGTGTTCTCTCTCTCACTGTGTTTGTCTCTGCCAAAGAAATAAAATCTTTTTTTTTTTTAATTTTTCTTTTCTTTTTTTAAGATTTTATTTATTTATTTGACAGAGAGAGAGAGAGATCACAAGTAGGCAGAGAGGCAGGCAGAGAGAGAGGGGGAAGCAGGCTCCCTGCTGAGCAGACAGCCCGATATGGGACTAGATCCCAGGACCCTGAGATCATGACCTGAGCCGAAGGCAGAGGCTTAACCCACTGAGCCACCCAGGCGCCCCAAAATAAAATCTTAAAAACAAAAATTTCCTTTGTGCCCTGGGATGTGTAGTTTTTGTAAATGTTTACTTGAAAAGAATATGAATTTTCTGTAGCTTTGTATAGTCTGTATGTGGGTGTGCGCATGCATACGCGTGTGTGTCTGTATGTTCAGTCAAGCTTTAGATTCTCTGTATACATATATATGTTTAATCAAGCTTTTAAATTGTCCACATTTTCTAGTTTCTGGTATTTTAGTCTCTTTTTCCCCTTGCAGTTTATTTGTTGAAGAAACATAGATGTTTGCTGTGAAAATGCTTTTCAGAATCTAGATTTTGCTAATTGAATCTTTATGGGGTCATTTAACATATTTTACTCTCTCCTGTATTTTCTGTAAGATACTCCTTTATTTTCAAGCTGAGTGATTATGTTGTTGTAATTGTGTTAAGCATGTTAACTAGATTTCATTTTTAAAAATAATTTGTGTGTCTTCATCATCAAATGTAAGTATGGATATTGTGATTACTGATATATTTGTGCTTATTTCTATAATCTTATTTTGTGCTTCCTATTTACTATGTATTTTTTTCTTTACTTTTTGAGCTTCTTTCTTTCCTTCTGTTGGATTGAGTTTTCTGTATTCTCTCTTTTCCTCTCTATTGGTTCAGAAATTACACATTCTATTTTTAACCTCTTAGTGATTATTTTTGAATGTTGAACATTCATAATTGAATTAAAATTTAAGACAAATATATTTACCTCCTAAACAATATAAGGACTTTAGAGCTTTTTTTTTTTTTTAAGGAATTTGTTTATTTGACAGAGAGAGAGCGAGAAAGGGAATACAAGCAGGGGGAATGGGAGAGGGAGAAGCAGTCTTCCCGCCGAGCAGGGAGCCTGATGCGGGGCTTGATCCCAGGACCCTGAGACCCCAAAGGCAGATGCTTAACGACTGACCCACCCATGCACCCTGACTTTAGAGCCTTTTTTTTTTTTTTAAGATTTTATTTATTTGACAGAAACAGAGATCACAAGTAGGCAGAGAGGCAGGCAGAGAGGAAGAAGCAGGCTTCCCGCCAAGCAGAGACCCTGATGCGGGGCTCAATCCCAGGACCCCGAGATCATGATCTGAGCCGAAGACAGAGGCTTTAACCCACTGAGCCACCCAGGAGCCCCTGACTTTAGAGCTTTTAACACTGATTTGCTCCCCTTTATCTTCCCTGATATTGTTTTCTAGTATTTTAGATCTTTGTTTTTAACCCTCCCATTTTGTCTCCCATGTCTTCCAGTTTCTTTGCCTTCAGTTGGTTCTTTTTAAAAAATTTGTAACTCAAATAATGTAAATATGTGAACTATAACTGTATAAAACCAAAACACGAGTTTTATGAAATAATACTTACTCTTATTGCGTGAGATGCTCTCTGACAAAATTTTCTATTCTCTGATTTTATTGCTCGCAATTGCTTTTTGTATTTGCTTTCTTGAGAATTGCTTCCTTCTTCCTTCCTTCAGTAGTTCTTCCATCTAGAACATGTGAGTGGTAAATTCTCCTAGTCTTTGAAAATATCTTTAATTTTATTACAATTTGTGAGTGATGGCTTACAGATGAGCACAGAATTCTAAGTTGATGCTCATTTTCCCTCAGCATTTTAAGGATAATATTCCATTATTTACGGACATCTCTAACTGCCATGTTTATTCTACCTATGTGTGGTCTGTCCAGTTACTGTTTTTATCTCTGATTGCTTTTAAAGTTCTCTTACTTTGTATTTTTGATACAAGTGTGTCTCAGTTTAAACATTTTTATGTATTTATTTTTTAAGAGCTTTTTTTTTTTTTTTTTTTTTCCAGTGAGGGGAGGGGCAGAGGAAAAGGGAGAGAATCCTGGTGCTGGTCTTGATTTAACAATCCTGAAGTCATGAACTGAGTAAAAATTAGGAGTCAAACACTCAACTGGTTGAGTCACCCAGGGGTCCTCAGTGTATATACTTTTAAAATTTATTCTAAATGAGAGTCGGAATGATTACTTAATTTGCAGGTTTAATGTTGGTTATTTTTCATCCATTTTCTTTTGGAGTATTGCTTCCTCCTCTTTCTTTCTGTTCTGTTTTCTAAAACACCTATTAGAACTATGTTGGACCTTCTCACTTTATTCCCTTTCTCTTAACTATTAATTACCACCTTTTTATCTCTCAATGATGTACTTAGGGTGATGTCCTCAGATCTCGACAACATAATTTTCTCTTCTATATCTTTGTTATAGGATTTAATTTTTTAAAATATATTCTCACTATCTAGAAGTTTTATTTCTTTTTCAAATTTGTTTGCTGGATGTACTGTCCTGTTCTTTTTTTTTTTTTTTTAAAGATTTTATTTATTTGACAGAGAGAGAGAGAGAGATCACAAGTAGACAGAGGCAGGCAGAAAGAGAAGGAGAAGCAGGCTCCCCACTGAGCAGAAAGCCCGATGCGTGGCTCAATCCCAGGACCCTGAGATCATGACATGAGCCGAAGGCAGAGGCTTAACCCACTGAGCACCCAGGCGCCCCTGTCCTGTTCTTTTATTATGGTTTCTCTGTCTTCTTTTATCTGCTTAATGATTTTAGTAATATTTTATGCCCTTTCAGATTGTTTTACTTTATGCGTGTACATTCTCAATTATCAGATCTGCATACAGCTCTCTTTTATGGTGGTTTCTTTGTGCAATCTGTTTTTTTTTTTTTAAAGATTTTATTTATTTATTTGACAGACAGATCACAAGTAGGCAGAGAGGCAGGCAGAGAGAGAGGAAGGGAAGCAGGCTCCCTGCTGAGCAGAGAGCCCGATGCGGGACTCGATCCCAGGACCCTGAGATCATGACCTGAGCCGAAGGCAGCGGCTTAACCCACTGAGCCACCCAGGTGCCCTGTGCAATCTGTTTTTTTTTGTTTTTTGGTTTTTGTTTTTTTAATCATGAACTTATCTTTAGGGGAGTTGTGCTCGGTTGTATATACTCGCCTTTGATATGGTTTTATATTTGCTTCTTGAGATCCACTGAAGTAGAAAAATTTGGGGGGCAAATTTTTATATACATTTTTGGCTTGTAGTTGCTATTAGTACATAGAGAGTATAAATTCAGATCCCATTCCTGATTGTGGCACAACAGAGGTTTTGATTTCTCAACTGACTTATTTTTTTCCCATCTGTTATTCAGGCAGATAGAAAACTTCTTTGCTGGTTCTCCAATTTTCTTATTCTCGTTTTATGGACAGAGTTATCCTTCAGTGCTCTAGGCCATATGAAGTTAGCTCAGTTCTCTCCACTGCAGATGACAGAAAATTTATCTCCTTTTTGTATGGACTATCCCAGCATCATTGCCCATATATTGCCCAGCTTTGATTCCTTTTTCTTTTCTGGGACTGGGGGATTTCTTTATTTACAAGGCTTGGTTGCATATTAATCTATTTTTTTTAATTTAACATTTCTTCTGTGTTTTTATAACAGAGCATGAGACTGTCTAACTCATCCACCATGTTTTCTGAAATTGATAGTAAATTTAATAGTTTTACTATGGGGGAGATTAAATTTTAAATCTATTAAATTATATTCCATTATAGAATAGAAAGTTTTCAAAATAATATATTGTAAACTTCTGATACATCTTTTGCCATGTGAAAGTGTTAACTGTTGTATCTTTTTTTCCCATTTGCTTTTCTTCCTCAACCATTTTACTTTGGATTAGTACATTTCCTGACTCATATGAATAAGGATGCTCAATGTGACAAAGAGGAGACTTCAGAAGCTGAATTTTCAGTGACAGAAACTCATTCTAGTCAGAAAACTTGTGTGTTTCCTTCTGCTGACTCAGCTCTCAGCCTTTTCAATGACCAGAATACAACTTCTCCTGGTACTGTTCATTTTTTTCATTTACGCTCTTGTTTTCCCGTATACTGTTACTGAAGAGTATTTTATTTGGAACACAGTTGTGAAAGATTTGTGAAGCCATTTTGCAATATTTATAAATTTCAAGGGAGGGAAGTTAAAAACTGTGCCATTTGCTTGAAGAACTATGTTGTCTTATCATCTTCCTAAGATCTATTGCAAGCCTGTATCGTTATCTCTAATAAGATGTATGATTACATCTCCAAGTTATTTATTAATGTTAAATATAGAGAAACTAGATTTACTATTCTATCTGATTTTTATAAAACTTGAGAAATTCAGACTCAGCCAATATTGAGAACCTCGGGTTTTAATTATGAAACCAAATAATGGCTGTAGTTTCTGGAGACTGCCATGTTCCAGATAAGGCTGCTTTACGTGCATTGACCCTGATGTGAGCCTAGCCTGCAAAGGGGATGCCATTAATATCTCAGTTGTACAGTTGAGAATTTTGAGACTTAGACAAGTTTAGTGCCACTTTTCATTCTATTTCATTTGGAGTTGGCAATTAAAAGTGCACTTTTTAGTCCTAACAAACACATTTTGTCATATGAATAATAGGTCATACTAAATACAATACATGGGCTACTGACAGCGGCTTTGAAATATTTTTTCTCTCTCAGCTATTGATGGTCAAAAATGATGAATTTTTAAGTGTTTATAGTATGTTTTATTGTCATTATTAAAGTAGCATAAGCAGTCAGAACCCTCTACAACCTCTTTAACCTCATCCATCAGCTCTCCGCCATAAGAGTCAAGCAAAAGCTACAGATGACTGAGAACCTCCAGGAATCAAACAGGTTCTCAGCTAGGTGCTTTAGGTACTGCACTCAATCTCCACAACTCTGTGAAGTGGAAATGATCAACCCCATAGGATGACGACCAAAATACAGTTGGAATCTAGGAATAACTTAGAGAAAAAAATTACAAGACTTAAAGCGAGCTTCTTAGCAGTTTTTCTTTTAATAACTACTATGCCAGGGCACCTGGGTGGCTCAGTGGATTAAGCCTCTGCGTTTGGCTCAGATCATGATCTCAGGGTCCTGGGATCGAGCCCCACATCGGGCTCTCTGCTCAGCAGGGAGCCTGCTTCCCCCCCTTTCTCTGCCTGCCTCTCTGCCTACTTGTGATCTCTCTGTCAAATAAATGAATAAAATCTTAAAAAAAAAAAAAACTATGCCATTTTTTTTCTACTATGCCATTTTTAAAAAAGCATTTTTTTACTGCTTATGCTACTTTAATAATCTTTAAAAAATAGTTAAATTGAATTAATTGCTATTAAAACCTCACAAATGCCCCAACCCTGAAAACAAAGATATGTAAAATCCTTGATTTGAGGATTAATAAATTAAACAAAATAACATGTGCTTAGGAAAGCAAAATTGGTATTAAAAACATGTGGATGTATAAGTCTTGGGTCAGGGTGGATTCATCTAATGAGATCTTAACAAGGAAATGTTTTTGAGAAGAGGTGTCCAGAACACTTTCCCCCATAGTAACTCAATTCTCCTTGAGGATTAAATGTATCAAAAATTGAGTAGATTAGGTGTTTTGCTTTAAAGACATGTGGTTAATATTGGACAAGGTTTAAAAATTATTCTTTTGGGTCCTGTTCTTCCAAGTTATGGCTTCTTTGAATGAAATTAGATATTTTCCTAAATGTATTACTTTTAGATCATCAGAACATTTTTTGTTTTGTTGTTGTTGTTTCAGTAAATTGCACTTCAGTATTTATGTTTATTTTTTAAAATTCTATTTTATTTATTTGGCAGAGACAGCGAGAGAGGAAACACGAGTATGGGGAGTGGGAGCGGGAGAAGCAGGCCCCAGGACCCTGGGATCCTTGGGACCCTTAAGCATCCCAGGCGGATGCTTAAGGACTGAGCCACCCAGGCGCCCCACACTTTAGTATTTTAAACTGTGTACTAAGCGAAGAAGGACTGTACTTCCTAAAGTATTCAGAGTATTCTGGATAGAAAAGTAATCATCTGAAAATGCAGAGTATACACTATCAAATAGCACATTTAAGAGGAGGATAAATAATTACACATATATATCTTTAAACCTATTTGGAGGCTTAAAATATTTTAATTTCTGGTTATATAATTTCTAAAGAGGTTAATAGATGACAGTAGAAAAAAAATATTGACCCCAAATTTTTATTAATAATGTTTCTTTTCTTTTAAGGTGTGAATAACAGTGATGAGTTATTTGAGAGGTAAGTATTTTCAGAATAATTCACAGGTTTACTTAAGATTGGGTATAAACTGTGTGTTTCAGAAATTCTGTTATTCATGTGTATGTGAGCTTCTACACTACATATTTTTTCATGGACTGAAAGGAATATAATTCTCATTGGGAATGGGGTGTTTTAAGAAGCTGAGGATTGCTTTATTATATCCTTTATAGTTTTGTTTCAGCACAGGTAATTAGAACGCAGTAGACTGCGCTTGCTGCATCCTTTACTGCGCGTGTATTCAGCAAGCTGGACAGGTAGAGGTTCTCTCCTGAGCCATAGGTTCACTTTTTTAAGAGCACAAAAGAAGTCATCAATGACTGATGATTAGACTTTTGCTGAGGATTCCTGGAAAGTAGAAGGAACATTAGATCTGTGTTTATTATTTTTGTGTTCATTTATGCTCTTAGAGGACATCGCTTTACATGTTCATTTTTTAAACTTTACATGTTCATTTTTGATTAATTAAACTGTAGATACTAACTAATATTTCTCAAATTGGATTTGAAAATGAAGCGTTTCAGTAGATCCACTCCAGCTGACTGGGTTAACTGATATTGGAGACATCATTGAGGACCTTATAACAAAAGACGGAGTTTCCAGGGAGGAGCTCGGTTTAACAGAACAACAAGCTAAGAGTATCTGCAGGTAATCTTTGAATAAATCATTTTTAACTCATTTAAAATGCTTATGGTTCAGGAATATTAAAAATTGACCATATTTTAATGTGATTTTTATGAAACAAACACAAAACTTCATTTTTTTCTTCATAAATACTTTTTGTGATGTTTATGTGTCATTGCTCCCTTTCCCCAACCTTAGTCAGACTGGTGTATTTAATACAGCAGCACATCTATATCCTGGGAGTTTTCCCAAGGTCTCATCACTTTATTTTTATTTTTGTTGTCATTACTATTTATACATATATATATCTTTTCATGTGTCTGTTGTCTGTTTGGATGTCTTCTTTGGAGAAATGTCTGTTCATGTCTTCTGCCAACCTTTAAATTGGATTATTTGGGGGTTTTTTGGTGTCGAGTTGTGTAAATTCTTTATGTATTTTGGATACTAACCCTTTATCGGACATGTCATTTGCAAATATGTTCTCCCATTTGGTAGGTCATCTTTTAGTTTTGTTGATTGTTCCTATTGCTGTGCAGAAGCTTTGTATTTTGATGTAGTCCCAGTCATTTATTTTTGTTTCTGTTACCCTTGCCTCAGAAGACATGTAGAAAAACGTTGCTACAATCCATGTCAGAGAAATTACTGCCTGTTCTCTTCTAGAATTTTTATGGTTTCAGGTCTCACATTTGGGTCCTTAATCCATTTTGAATTTATTTTTCTATTTAGTGTAAGAAGGTGGTCTAGTTTCATTCTTTTGCATGTTGCTGTCCAGTTTTCCCAACCCATTTGTTGAAGTGACCATATTTTCCTATAGCAAATTCTTTCCTGTTTGCCAATGAATGAATTAATTAATTGACCATAAAATAGTGTGTTTATTTCTGGGCTCTCTGTTCTGTTCCACTGAGCTGTGTGGCTGTTTTTATGCCAGTACCATACTGTTTTGATTACTACAGCATTGTGGTATATCTTGAAATCTGGTATTGTGATACTTAAACTTTTGTACTTTTTCAAGATTGCTTTGGCTTGGAGTCTTTTGTGGTTCCATACACATTGGGGGGTCATTTGTGAAAAATGCTGTTGGTGTTTTCATAGGGACTCCATTAAATCTGTAGATTGCTGTGGGTAATATGGACATTTTAACAATATTTGTTTTCCCAGCCCATGAACATAGATTATCTTTCCATTTGTTTGCATAATCTTTAATTTCTTTCATCAGTTTTTATAGTTTTCAGAATACAAGGTCTTTCACTTCCTTGGTGAGGTTTATTCCTAGGTATTTTATTATTTCTGGTGTAATTATAAGTGGGATTGTTTTCTTAATTTCTTTTTCTGCTACTTCATTACTAGTATATAGAAATGTAATGAATTTCTATATATTGATTTTGTGTTCCACATCTTACTGAATTCAATGATCAGTTCTAGTTTTTTGGTGGAGTCTGTAGGATTTCCTATATATCGTATCATGTCATCTGCAAATACTGAAAGTTTTATTTCTTCCTTGCCAAATTGGATGCTTTTTTCCCTTTTTCTTGTGTAATTGTGTGGCTAAGACTTCCAGTACTATGTTGAATGCAAGTGGTGAGAATGGACATCTTCGTCTTGTTCTGATCTTAGGGGAAAAGCTCTCAAGTTTTTTACCATTGAGTATGACATTAGCTGTGAGTTTTTCATATATGGCCTTAATTATGTTGAGGTATGTTTCCTCTAAACCTATTTCATTGAAGGTTTTTGTCATGCATGGATGTTATACTTTGTCACATGTTTTTTCTGCATCCATTGAAATGATCATATTTTTTTTTAATCCTTTCTCTTGTTGATGTGATGTTATCACATTTACTGGTTTGCAGATATTAAGCCACCCTTACATCCTTGGAATTAATCCCGCTTTATAGTGGTAAATGATTTTTTTAATGCTTTAATACTGTGGTTTGCTAATTAATATTTTGTTGAGGATTTTTGCAACTGTTCATCAGAGATATTGCCCTGTAATTCTCTCTTTATAAAGATTTGTTTAGGGGCGCTTGGGTGGCTCAGTGGGTTAAAGCCTCTGCCTTTGGCTCAGGTCATGATCCCAGGGTCCTGCGATCGAGCCCTGCATCGGGCTCCCTGCTCGGAGGGGAGCCTGCTTCCCTCTCTCTCTCTGCCTGCCTCTCTGCCTATCTCTGTCTGTGAAATTAAAAAAAAAAAATCTTTAAAGATTTGTTTATTTATTATTTTAGAGAGAAAGCATGACGGGGTGGGGCAGAGGGATAGGGAGAGAGAGAATCTTAGGCAGACTCCCCGCTGAGCATGGAGCCCAATGCAGGACTCATTCTCACAACCCCCAAGATCATGACCTGAGCTGAAATCAAAAGTCAGATACTTGGGGCGCCTGGGTGGTTCAGTGGGCTAAAGCCTCTGCCTTCAGCTCAGGTCATGATCCCAGGGTCCTGGGATTGAGCCCTGCATCTGGCTCTCTGCTCATCGGGGAGCCTGCTTCCCTTCCTCTCTCTCTGCCTACTGTGATCTCTGTCAAATAAATAAATAAAATCTTTAAAAAAAAATAAGTCAGATACTTAATCAACTGAGCCACCCAGGTGCCACAGTAGTTCTCTTTTTTTGGTAGTATGTTTATCTGGTTTTGGTATCAAGGTAAGGATGGCCTCATAGAATTAATTTGGAATCTTTCCTTCCTTTTTTATTTTTTGGAATAGTTTGAGATCCCAGGACCCTAAGACCATGACCTGAGATGAAGGCAGAGGCTTAACCCACTGAGCCACCCAGGCGCCCCTGTATGTAACATCTTATGCATAGAGCAGTCTGTATGAAGTTGGCAGGTGCTTCAGTTTGAACCCATTCTTTACTCTTCTTCCCACCTCCCATGTATTAGGTGTATGGTGTCATACTTTACATCCTTTTATTTTTATTTTGTGAGTTCCTTGACTGATTTTTATATGTATACTTATTTTTATTATTTTTGGACTTCCTACTTTTCTTACTCCTACTTACAATTTTTCCTTTCCACTTGAAGAGTCTCCTTTAACATTTCTTTATTTCTTTTTTTTTTTTAAAGATTTTATTTATTTATTTGAGGGGCGCCTGGGTGGCTCAGTTGGTTAGGCAACTGCCTTCAGCTCAGGTCATGATTCTGGAGTCCCAGGATCGAGTCCCACATTGGGCTCCCTGCTCAGCAGGGAGTCTGCTTCTCCCACTGACCTCTCTCCTCTCATGCTCTCTCTCTCTCTCAAATAATTAAATAAAATCTTTAAAAAAAAAAAAGATTTTATTTATTTATTTGAGAGAAAGAGAGAGACAGAGTGAGAGAGCATGAGAGGGGAAGTCAGAGGGAGAAGCAGACTCCCCATGGAGCTGGGAGCCTGATGTGGGACTCAATCCCAGGACTCCAGGATCATGACCTGAGCCAAAGGCAGGGGCTTAACCCACTGAGCCACCCAGGCGCCCCCCGCCCCTTTAACATTTCTTATAAGGCTGGTTTAGTGGTCATGAATTCTTTTAAATTTAGTTTGTTTGGGAAACTCTTTATCTCTCCTATTCTGAATGATAGCCTTGCTGAATGGAGTATTCTTGGCTGCAGGTTTTTTTTCCTTTCAGCCCTTTGAATATATCATTGCACTCCTTTCTGACCTGCCCAGTTTCTGCTGAAAAATCATATGATTGCCTCATGAGGTTTTCCTTGTGTGTAACTATTTTCTTTTCTCTTGCATGTAACTATTTTCTTTTCTCTTGCTGCTTTAAAAATTCTCTTTATCATTACTTTCTGCCATCTTAATTACTATGTGTCTTAGTGTGGACCTCCTTGAGATGATTTTGTTGGGGGATTTCTGTGCCTACTGGATCTGAATTTCTGTTTCCCTCTCCAGTGCTGGGAAGTTTTCAGATACTATTTTGTCGAAGTAAATTTTCTGCTCCCTTTTCTCTGTCTTCTCCTTCTGGGATCCTTATAATGCAAATGTTATTACACTTGATGGTGTTGCTGAGGCCCTAAGACTGTTTTTATTTTGTATTACTTTTTTTTCTCCTACTGGTTCAACTTGACTGCTTTCCATTATTCTGTCCTCCAGGTTGTTGATCCATTTTTCTACTTCCTCTAGTCTACTATTCTTTCCATCTGCTGTGTTTTTAATTTCATTTATTGGGTTATTCATCTCTGATTGGCTCTATGTTTTCCATCTCTTTGTTAAGGGTCTTGCTGATGTCCTTCACTCTTTTTTCAGAGAGCATCTTTTTGACCACTATTTTAAGTTCTCTTTCAGTCATATTACTATGTCCATTTCACATAGGTTTCTTCCTGTGACTCTGTCCTGTTCTTTCATTTGAGACATATTCCTCTGTGTTCATTTGGGCTAACTCTCTGTAACTGTTCTTCTGTGTTAGGGAAGTCAGCTGTATCTCCTGCCTTGCAAGTAGTGGCCTTCTGAAGACAAGGTGCTGTCACGCCCTGCAGTGCAGTGGCCCTGATCACCAGCACCTGGCGTTTCAGGGGCATCTCCTCTCTGTGTTTCACGTGCCCTGATGTTGTGGCTGAGCCACTTTTTCCTTCAGTCCAGTTGTCTATAACGTCTTTCTTTACCTGTTATGGACAGGGTGTGGTCCCTGGGTTGTTTGTGGGCCAGTCTGGGGTCACCTTGGACTTGAGTTGAGTCAGACCAAGTGTTTGCCAGAGATGCAGGAGCACTGAAGTGCAGGGTTCTTTCCTTTTGTTGTCTCCAGAGAAGCTTTTGTTGGTGGGCGGGGCCTGTAATCAGATCAGCTGTCTGCCTCTACTCCGCCACTGGGGCTGCGGTCTGATCACTGTGTGTGTTCTCTCTCCCTGGAGCAGGAGTCACTTTGGAATGCTGCTGGCTCCTGTTGGAGCTGCTTGCACATGCCAGGCTTGTCACACGGCTTCAGATGGGCTCTGGCCAAGAGCGTATTGGAGGAGCCAAGTCCACAGGAGTGCACTGGGCTGGGATGTGTGTTGTTATCATGATGTGAATAGGTTTGCTATTGGAGGCGAGTTGGAATCCTGACTGGAGGCGATGGGTCTGCAGGAAAACATGGGAGCAGATGTACTGTTGGCAAGTTAGTTAGAAGGTGTCAGTGTTGTGCTGTTCCTGCCGGTGTCCTTGTGTCTAGGCTGGGGGGCCGGGGACAGAAATGGTGCCTGCCAGGTCTTTTGTTCTTGGAGAAGTCTCCCAAAGATCCTTGCCCCTCCAACACATGCTTTGAGGTTAGTAAACAGACCTCCCTCCCCTATGTCCCAGGAGATTTTCAAACTGCTGCTTCTCTGCTGTATCCCAGAGGGCTGTCTCTTGTGCTCTCTAAGGACAGGGACTCAGTTTCCTCTCTCCCTCCAGGCTCTCCCAGACCTGAGCCTGCTTATTTTTAAAGTTCCAGGGTTTAAGTCTTTCTGATTATAAGAACTTGCAGAATTCAAGCCCTGTGGTTTTCAAAGCCAAATGTTGTGGGGAGTCATCCTTCCCGTGTGGGCTCCTCAGAGTAACGGTCTATCTCTCTCCCTACTGCACGCCCACAGCATCCCTCCCTCCAGCAGACAGTCCTGTGGTTCCATTTAGCCTCTGACTGAGTCTCCACCCTTCCTGTCCTTTTTTATTTTATTTTATTTTTTTTTTTTTTTAATTTTATTTTTCATAAACATATAATATCTTTTTATCCCCAGGGGTACAGGTCTGTGAATCGCCAGGTTTACACACTTCACAGCACTCACCATAGCACATACCCTCCCCAATGTCCATAATCCCACCCTGTCCTTTTTTATATGGCATCTTCTCTACATTTAGCTGTGGATGGAGTTTGTTCTTCCAGTTTTTTATCATTTTCTGGGTTATTTACACTGATATGAGTGTTATCTAGTCATGTCCATGGGATGAGATGGCCTTAGGGTTCTCCTACTCTTCCCTGGAAGCTCTTATCATTTTAAGTACAACATAAATTTAATCCTTTTTTTTTAGAAGTAATTAAATATTTTTTAACATTTTATTTACCCATTCATTTTTAGAGAGAACGTGTGTGTATGCACATGCATGCAAGTGGGGGGGAGGGATAGAGGGTGAGGGAGAGGGACAAGCAGACTCTGAGCTGAGCGTGGAGGCTGATGCAGGGCTCAGTCTCATGACCCTGAGATCATGAACTGAGCCAAAATCAAGAGTCAGCCGCTTAAGCAAATGAGCCACCCAGGCGCCCCATAATACTTTGCCCTCAATATTAATCCTTAGAATACATATTTAATAGCCTTTTCTTGGAATATTAGGTTAAAATTTTTTTCCTTGCAACGTGTCCTGATCCAAGAACTGGTTCCTGATAGAATAAAGTCTGGCTCTTCTACTAATGCTTCCTTGGGATACGTATACCTCTTGGCTTGTTTATATAAGAGAGTCAACCTTATGAATGTTATGACTATTTCATCAATAATGTATTAAGTATCAAGTTTAGAATAAAAATATGGTTTGTATTTTTGAATGGAGATAGAACTATAAAACCAGTGTGACATAAGGCCAGGTTATATCAGTGTGCTATGGGAGCTGCGGAGAGAGTCAGTCCAATGCAGCAGCTTCCCTAGTTACTGTGTTTGAGCTGTATTCCAAAGCACAGATAGAAATTCGTGGTGCTTATAAATAATAGAAAGGGTATTCGAGACAGCAAGAATATAAAATACCAAGGAGTGATGATCAGAAGTGGGCTGGGAGTTAGATGTGACTGGAGTTATGTCGTAGAAGGAGAGAGAGGGTCTGGCTGGGTGTGCTGGCTGTAGATTCGGGACCAAAGGCACCCATTTCTTATCTGTAAGCAGTAAGGGGTCAGCAAAGGGCTTTAAACTAGAAATGGGAGCCAATGGGAGGTCTTACTTAGTAGTCTAAAGATGAAGGGGTTCAGAATGGAGCGTGTGGGGTAATAATCGTGCGTAAACCTGGAGGAAGTGAGAATGATTTTCTCACTTCTCCTGCATCAGCCTCCACGCTCAGGTGACTGAGTTGATGGGGATTTCTTTGGCAAGATAGAGAATGTAGTTTCAGTTGTTATAAGGTGTTAGGAGAATATTCAGTAATATTGGCACATTAGATTTAGGTCATCCCGGAAGCAAATGCTAAAATGAGATTTAGGTGAGCTAGAGATTTATTTGGGGAAACACCTGTGAGGGAGAAAGGGGCACGAGCCAGAGGAAGTGGGGATAGCTGTCAGACTACAGTCCCAGTGTGGATTTGATCCTGTGTTAGGGGTCCCCAGGATCACCTTAAGTTCACTGATTGACTGGGAGGACTTACAGAACTCATAGAGTCATACTCACAATTTATTACAACAAGAGAATTCAAAGAAAACCAGCAAGAGGAGTGGAGTGCATGCAGTGAATTCTGAGGGAAACCAGGCACAGGTTCCTAAGAAACCTCTCCCAGTGTGGTCTCAACAGGACACAGTTCCTGAAGCAGCAGGTTGTGTCCGCACACATGAGATAATGTCCACCACAGAGACTCATTTATAGAGCCTCAGTTCCCAGAGTTTTTCTTGGGGGCTGGTCGAGTAGGCAGCCTCTTCCTAGCACATACCAAATCCACATTTCCAGAAGGAAAAGCAGGTTTTCAGTGTAAACCATACTGTTTGTATCAGTGACCTTCCATTCAGGATGATGTTCTCCTCTCCTGCTGGGTAAGGAGTCTGTCCCAAACCCTGCCTCACACCACCTGTTTTTCGGACCATTCGTTAGTACTACTATGTCTGCTCATGTCATCTGAGAAGCAGAAGGCATGTGTAAGACGTTTATTGGGAGAAAGGCCTGTGAGGGGAAAGGGCGGAAAACATAGAAGTGGGGGAAGCATCAGATCACAGTGTGTTATCACAGCCTGTGGAGGAGAGGGAAGGAGGAGGGGAGAGGGTCAAGCAAGCGCAATGTTGCAGTATGGTGTTCTAGGAATGTTTCAGCTGGGTCAGTGGTGGACATCCATCAGCATGGCCCACCAGAGGAGTCCTGTGTCTTGCAGGAAGGGGCCAGCCATAACATGCCCGCCATGCCCAGTTATTAGTTCAGGTCAGCCTGTGGAAAGTATGGCATGGGCACGAAAGCAAGGGTAGATCCTCAAGCGCAGCTGTTTAGAAGTCATCTCTGTGGCATGTGTTGGAAGTGTTTGAGGTATTCCAGGAGTAGATGATTGGTGAAGAAGTCCAAAACAGAACCTTTAAAGACATTAATATTGAAGAGGGGAGCAGACATGAAAGGAGCCAACGTAGGAGGCTGCACAGTGTTTTCAGAGTTAGAATAAGACCCATGTTGGAGTTTAACAAAGAAAAGAAGGGCCAGTTGTATTAAATGTTCTCGAGAAGTACAGTGGGAGGAAGAGGCTATTGGTGAGCTTTTTGTTGGTGGTGGAGGTGAGCTTTCTGAAATCATTTTCAGTGGATTTCAGGGAACAGGTTGGAGCAAGTTGATAGAGACATGAGTGTACTGCTTTTTGAGAACAGGAAAAAGCTCTTGGCTGGCTCAGTCAGTGGCACGTGTGACTCTTGATGTCAAGGTTGTAAGTTCAAGCCCCACGTTGGGTGTAGAAATTACTTCAGAAAAATCTTTAAAAAAAAATCCCTTTCCAAATAAACTGTATTTAGTTGTGATACTACTTAGATCCATAAAAAATGTAAAATTAAGTGATGCCCTGCCTGTTAAATTTCTCAGAATTCAGCATTCTTCTGGTAGACGAACACAAAGAACTGAGAAGGAAAGAAGAGAAATTCAGGTGTGGATGAAAAGAAAACGCAAGGAAAGAATGGCAGAGTACTTAAACCAGTTGGCAGAGAAGAGAGGGCAAGAACATGACCCTTTCTGCCCAAGGAGCAATCCAGTAAGTATGCAGGATCGGGGCAGTGGGATTAGCAGCGAATATGTGCAGTTTTCCCTGGCAAATATTCAAGAAAAGGATTAACATAATTTGGATACATTTTTTATTAGATAGAAATGTCACCATTTGACTTGTCAGAAAATGTTAATTAACAAAATGTAGCAAGGTATTCTATAAGCCATGTTCTGTTAAACTTTTTTTTTTTTTTTAAGATTTTTATTTATTTATTTATGTATTTGCAGAGTAACAGGGAACCCAAGTAGCGGGAGTGGGAGAGGGAGAAGCAGCCTTGCTGCCCAGGCAGGGCTTGATCCCAAGACCCTGGGATCATGACCTGAGCCAAAGGCAGACTCTTAACAACTGAGCCACCTGGGTGCCTCTCTGTTGAACTATCTTAAATACTTTTTCTTCCCCTGGCTAACTATGGCTCTTGCTAATTTTAACTAAGTGAAGAGGTTAACTGATTGGTGACCAATTGGAACTTTTCCCTTAATTTTCAGTGAGAGTCAATGGCAGTTGAACAACTGTGTGTGTAGCAAAGCCATTTAAAAAATCAATTTTGTATCCATAAGTTATCTACAAAAAATAGATATGGGGGCGCCTGGGGAGCTCAGTGGGTTAAGCCTCTGCCTTCAGCTCAGGTCATGATCTCAGGGTCCTGTTACTTTGATAATCACATTACTATGAAAATTACATTTGAATTATACTTACAGTTTATCTTTTACTTTGTAATTTGAGATAAAATATATAGTACTTAATTTTTTTCAGCATCATTAGAGGAACATGTTCTATAAAAGTGAATTTCCCAGACAGGGGTGTCACATTTAAGCACCAAATGGTGCAAAGTAGGTAAACTGTTAAGTAAATTGCATACTTTATTTGTGTCTGGAGATATTTTTTTTTTAAAGATTTTATTTATTTGACAAGCAGAGATCACAAGTAGGCAGAGAGGCAGGCAGAGAGAGAAGAAGGGAAGCAGGGGAAGCAGGCTCCCCGCTGAGCAGAGAGCCCGATGTGGGGCTTGATCCCAGGACCCTGAGATCATGACCTGAGCTGAAGGCAGAGGCTTTAACCCACTGAGCCACCTAGGCGCCCCTGTGTCTGGAGATATTAATATCAATTTTTTTTTTCTTTTAAGAGAGAGTGTAGTCATGTGCACATGACCTGGAGGGAGGGGCAGAGGGAGAGGGAGAGAAAGAGGATCTCTCCCTATGGGGCTTGATCTCATGACCCTAAGATCATGACCTGAACCAAAATCAAGAGTCAGGTACTTAACCAACTGAGCCACCCAGGTGGCCCGAGGTTAATTAACAGAACATTTTGTGGATAGTGTTAAGGACCTGGTTAATGACCTTCAAGGCTGCTGAGGTACCTGACTAGAATCTTCAAGTGCATGTGTTTATGTGTGTGTTCTTCTACCCACAGGGGGTGGGTTCTGGTATCACCCTGTCAACCAAGCAAATACCCAAGATAGTTAGGATGGTGTCCAATTTTGGAACAAATTAACTCTGAGGGCACTGGCATTGCTTGGTCCGTCGACTTCATGACCTCTCCTCCACAAGTGCAAACACCTGTTTATTTGTATCTTCTATTCAGATGAAGGTATTGGGATTAGTGAGAGGTTAATGTAATTAAAAATTTCATTCGAATTTGGATCAGAAATTAATAAGACCTTTAATTTGTTACTGACGACTTCCATGTAGGGCCTGTAGAGAGTGAATGCACTTCTATGTGCATTTTTATATACACAATTGTGTCTAAAAGGACTTGACTTCATTAGTAACTCCATAGTTACTCTTAGGGTTCTGGAATAAGACACTTGCTAGTTTGCCTCCTGGTGCATAAGTCTGAAGAGTTTACAAGTCACAGTGAACATACTACAGTAGGTTGCTGGGAGACATTTTAAAACATCAAAATGATAGTTTTCAAGGTCTGACTCCTTTCTGCTTGATCAAGTACACTATTAATCACAAGACCGAGTATGAAGAGTGTGTGTCTTCATCCTTAAAATGTTGTTGTTTCCCATTTCAAATGCAGCTGACACAGTATGTTAGTGAATTGAATTTAAATTTTAAAAAAAGGAAAAAGAAATGCAGCTGATAAGGTTCTCTCCTTTTGATAAAATGCTGAATTTAGCTGCTAAAATAGATTTTGCTTTCCACTTACTGAATTAGATTTTAATCACATGGTGCTTTAACATTTTCATGATTTGTGTTTGGGATAGGAAGCTTCGTCAAATATGAGAGTGTTTTGCACTGTTTCCTGAAGAGCAAAAACACGTTTTAAGCTCCCATTAAAATTGATTAGTGGAATTTTCATGTTTTTCGTGCATCAAAAAGGCTTAATTATTTGAACTGAACAGTAACAAACTAACCGGGTATTTCTCGTGCAGTTTTACATGACTTCAAGGGAAATCAGGCTGAGACAGAAGATGAAGAACGAAAAGGACAGGTGAGCTGGGTAGCTGTACCCCTAGCGCCCTCTCCAGTCTGCGCACCTGAGGTGCAAGCTACGCCTGAGGAACTCCAGTCTTCACAGTAGCTCCTTTTTGTCCATTAACAGAACATTATGGGAGATAACTGCAAGGAAAATAGACTCCACTAGACTTTTTAGGAATTTGCTTTCAAATATCTTTTATTCTGTTGAATTTTCATGACTTTTACTTCCGCTCTTGTCCTCCCTCTCCCAATCCAGATATGTATGAACATTTTGAAAATACCTAAAAGGGCCATAACTGCAGGTACCTTTACTAATTTCCACCTAATGTTTTTCAGAAATCTGAAATATGAATTTGCATTTGAAAAGCATTGAAAAAAATGCTAGGTGATCTTTCAAACATTCCGTTCCCTCTCGAGGTATGAATTGAAAATGACTCTTTCATTAAATGTTGTTTAATTCTTTGTCTTAAGATTGCTACTCTCTGACCACTATAGTCGGCGGATCTCACAAGCGTACAGTCTGATGAATGAACTGTTATCTGAGTCAGTACAGCTCCCAACAGCTGCACAGAAAGCCTTGCCTAACAAACCCAGAGCTGCTCCCGTTTCCCAAGAGCAACATTCTCTTTCGCCAAGAAGGTGAGACAGTTTGACATATCATTCGGCGAGATTATGTCAGGCATGGTAAGAAGAATGTGGTGCTTCTGTCGCCCAAGTTCAGTGTATTTGCATCTATGTTGCTCAGAAATATGAAAATCAAGTAAAGGAAAACATGGTCCTATGATTACAAGGTCTTTATAAGTTTATAGAATCACCAAGGAAAACGACAACAATGTCATTATATCTCTTAGAGATGGCAAAGCACTTCGGCATACCTAACACAATTTTGCTATCTGTTCAATTCTGTTTCCTCCTTTTCTGCAGTCTGCCACCTCACTCACTGTTCTCCCCTTTTCTCCACTTGGCTCCCCTCTTGTAGAAACAGTCCTCACCAGCTTCTCACTTCTCCGCTGTCTCTTCCCAGCACAAACCCACATGTGATCAGGTCACTGTGTGTGTATAATTTGGGGTCTACTCAAAATACCAGAGACTCCCTTGAATCTTTTCTGAAATAAAGCAGGGTATTAAATACATAAGTAACTGCCAAATACATAGATAATTTGAATTGGGCAGATAACCAAAAACAGTTTCCTTGAAAAAAACAAAGTTTAAGTTTAAACGAAAAATGATTTGTTGAGAATTGTTATAACGTGAAACATAACTGCTGAAGTACAGAGTAAGCAATGTCAAGTGAATGTGTTAATCAGGGTTAGAATTTGGGCCTTCTGAAATAAAGCTCATTACTGGTTTGAGATTCTAGGGATATATAATAATTACATAATTTCTACTTTAGAGAGAATCAACGTGGTCACAATATTCCAGTAAATCAACCTGGAAAATTCAGATATATATCCAGACCAAGTTATATCCGAAAGGGGAAACCTCAAGGCCTTCCTTGGCCATGTGGTAAGAATTTAAGCTTTTTTTAAATTTTAAATTTTGTATAATTTGGACCTCCTTGTCTCCAGAGTTGGTTTTCATTAATAAAATGAGATCTTCATGAAAAGCAGTTCTCATGTCAGCAGAATGCAGTTGCAGGATTGGTAAAGACTCACCTGTGCTGGGATTTGTTTGTTCTGCCGCTTTGAAATAGGAAGACCCCAGAAATCTTCTTAAACAAATGGCCTTTTTATAATAGAGTTTGAACAGTCAATATTTAGAGAAGACTTATTTGGGAATATGTTTCTTTTTGTGTGTCTGGCTGAAAAGGTAGGCATTTTACAAGTCAAGTTCTTAGAGACATCAGATGGACTAGATAGATACCAGGATGTCACAGAAGAGGAATAGTAAGAGGCTTATATTGAAATATCATGTTTGGGGCGCCTGGGTGGCTCAGTGGGTTAAAGCCTCTGCCTTCAGCTCAGGTCATGATCCCAGGGTCCTGGGATCGAACCCCGCATCAGGCTCTCTGCTCAGTGGGGAGCCTGCTTCCCCCCCATCTCTCTCTGCCTGCATCTCTGCCTACTTGTGATCTCTGTCTGTCAAATAAATAAATAAAATCGTAAAAAAAAAAAAAGAAATATCATATTTTTACCTTTGAACATCCTTTTGCACATTTGAAGATATAACATCTGTTATTTATCGCTAGCCTTCCTTTAGTTAATTTTGCCATATTTGGGTTTTGATTACCAGAGTAAAACATACTTATTTTGTGAAATGATTACACATTAAAAATGTATAATCATAGGGGCACCTGGATGGCTCAGTCAGTTGAGTGTATGGCTCTTTTTTTTTTTTTAATATTTTATTTATTTATTAGAGAGGGAGCACAGAGAGTGGGAGGGAGAAGCAGACTCCCCATGGAGCAGGGAGCCCGATGCGGGGCTCGATCCCAGAACTCTGGGATTATGACCTGAGCCAAAGGCAGACATTTAACCCAGCTGAGCCACCCAGGTGCCCCACTTGTCTGGCTTTTTTAATTTTCAGCTCAGGTCATAATTCTCAGGATCATGAGATTGATTGAGCCTCTCATCAGGCTCTGCACTCAGCAGAGTCTGCTTGGGGTTCTCTCTTTCTCTCTGCTCCTCCCCCAGCTCGTACTCTCTCCCACCAAAAATAAAGAAAATCTTAAGAAATATATAATCATGGTTAATATGTAGTATAAATGCATACAGCTTTTAGCTGTATAATAAACTAATGTGCCAGGTTCTATTTAAGCTCTTTAATTACAACCCTGTGAGACACGTACTGTTATAGTCCCATTTTACAGGTGAGAAAACCCAGGCAGAGAAAGTTGAAATAAGTCCCTTAGATCAGATAGCTAGGGATTTAAACCCGGTCTGGGTCTAGAGCCTACACACTTAGAAACTACGCTTCATTATGCTGCCTCAATTTAGAAAATTGAAGTTTCTATGAATTCCAGTCCTCCTAATAAAACTTCATAGTTTAACTCCTGCTCTTAATTAACATAATAAGAGTGCTCTTTTTAAACTAAAATTTCAAAGTAGTAACCATGTTTTTTTTTAAGTTTTATTTTATACCTGATACATTTGCCAAAGTTAAATAAAAGAAATGCCAAAAATTGGCAAAGATTTTAAACTTCAATCTATGGTTTCTCAATATCAGATGGAGAAGTCTTGGATTCTGTGGAAATGTGTCTTTGGCTTGGGTCTGTCCAGAGTCAGGCCTGTATGATGATGTTGCACTTGCCTGGGCTAAGGCCTTGGCCCTCCTTTGGTCAGCTCCCCTACTCGTGGGGGACTGTCCTCGAAAAGGTGCTCCTGCACGTGGGGACCCCCATCCCACACAGATCTGTCTGGAGCTTGTCCCCGGCCTTCAAGGCAGCCCCTCCTCCTGCCTTCTTAGCCTCCTTTCCCCATCTCATAGGTTAAAGGAGTTTGTCTGTTTTTCTAGGAACTGCTACTTATACCATACAGAGCAGAGGTGGCAGAGGCAAAGTGGCAGTAAGGAAGGCTGTGGCATCTCCAGTTACCTTCCAAAAAGGTAAGGGATAAGTAAAGAATAAAGTTCTTCAACTTAAATTTTTTAAAAGTTGTCAGGCAGTCTCAGAAATTTCAAATGCAGGTTTCAGACTGCGGGTGCGGCAGTGTGGCACGGTGGCTTGGGAATGGCTGCGGCGTTCGCTCTCTCTGGAATCCTAGGTCACCACTTATTCTTTAGCTTTGGGCACATTCCTAACGCATTTGTGTAAGCTTCAACTTTCTCGCCTGCAAAATCCTGATTGTTAGAGTGAGAGCCCGTATTATGGGCTTAGCAGAGTACTGAACATAAAAACAAGTACTCGAGGGGCGGCTGTTGTCACAGAGCCATGGTAAGTTTGGGGACTCTGAATGAGCTGTGCTCTGATCACCTGGAGAGGGAAATGGCCATGATCTTAGTGCCTAAGAATTAAGATCTAGCCCCGGCGCAGCCCTCGCCCCTTGTAACTCTTCATCATTTACAAAGTGTGTTCACGGTATTCTCCTGGGAGCTCCCCGTCACGGCCCCATTTTCCTGCTGAAGCCAGGGAGCTCAGGGAAGTGATGCCTGATGCCGGGCTCTGTACTCACACGGCCTGTGAGTGATCGCGCTTAGTCCTCACAGTAACTGAGTGAGCTCTCTGGCATTATCCTGATTCACAGAAATGACTACATGTGGTAGAGACAATAATGCAAACACTGATTACACTTAGTATAAAAATGATGAGAAACATGAATGAGTCTATTCCTGCCTTTAGGCCTCTCTTCTGTGCCGCCACCTTCCAGTTCACTGCCTCTGTCTTCAGCCATGTCTGCTCTTTACCCTGTCATGTTTGTGTTACTTTGATGGCTCTATGTCCTAGGAATCCTCTTTGGTTCTTTTTCCATAGTTTTCCCCACTGAATCCCTTAAAACCAGGCTGTAATTACTAGAATCAGTTTGAGTGCTAGAAGCATCATTTCCTGTGCCATTAATTGTATAACCCCAGACTTTTGTTTTTATTTCAAAGTCTCTCATTTTAATCTTCTGTAAAATTTTTAGGTGAGAGTACTCCAAAGCTATCTTATTCTTTTCTCAAAAAATACCTGGCAATGTTAGTTTAACAGATAAAAACCCCAAAATGCAATGTGGCCCCTAGAAATAGCTGAAGTTATAGGTACACTGATATTATATTTATGGAAGCTCCAGAACTGCAGGGTTTTGTGAAGTGAATTATGATCTAGCATGAGGCTTTGCCCTTAAAAAAGCAAACAGAAGTATTTCTTTCATTGTCCAGGGGTAGTCCTGCCTGTGACAGGATGAACTTGGTAGGACTCCCAAGTTTCTAGCTTGGCTGTGTGTCTAGAGTATGGCCCAAGACCGGCAAGCGGAGGGACAGGGTTTTCTTCTGGAGGTGGTACAGGGAATGGATTCTGTTTTTCTGTTCAGTTTCAGATTCCTCAGGCTGGACCCCATAGATGTTTGGCAGTAGGTTTCATAAAGAAACTGGGGGGTGGTGGTCACCGTCCGTCAGAGAGAGTGCTTCTTGGGAGGGAAGCCCGTGCACTTGCCAGCCTAGTTTCCATGGTGGGGTTTCTTTCCGATGTATCACTGACCTTTTACCTTAGAACGCGTCCGCTGTCCACACTGGGGCACGAACACCCACACTTGAAAAGCTTCGCACGTGCTCAGTTTCACAGCATTGTTTTCATATTTTACTTTAAGATTGGCTATCCCGAGCAAATGCTAGAGAAATGCACTCTGATCTGAAGCGAAGGAGATTACAAAGTCATCCCTGCAGAAAGCAAGGTGAGAAAAAGCCAGTGGCGGCTTCTCAAGGTGTGTAGATTCCCCGCAGGTAAAGGTTTATCCTAAAGTCCAGGACCATTAACCTTAATTTCTTAATTTTGGTGATGATTTTGTCATTCTTCTTGATAGCAATAATTAAGTCCATCTGATGAGTATTGAAGTCTAGTTAGCGCATGAGCTGTGGCTGCTGTGAGGGTGGGATCGCTTGGCGGTCACAGCCTTTGCTGATCTCTCACAGCCTGAACACTTGGAGCGGGCGTCCCAGCGCCACCTCCGTGTGTTGCCGTCTCCTTCGGAGAGACTACCTGCCTCGTGGTTATCATGCTTCTTAACCACTTGGTGTTCTCTCTCTTATCAGCCTTCAGTCTCAAGTTCTGTTTTACTGTTTTCTTTTTCGCCGCAGTGTTTGTTCACACAACTTCGCAGTTGGAACTTCTCCACGGTTCCATTATATCTGCGGCCTCTCCTCTCCTAGAGGTTACTTCTAGACTTGTTCTCTCTAGGACTCTCTTGTCCTAGAGGTTCCTGTTATTTTTAAAATGACGAGATGGCCAGAATTCAGTTGTCAGGGAAGGGGCGCGCGGCTGGCTCAGCTGGTGGAGGGGGCAGCTCCCGATCCCGGGCTGTGAGTGGAAGCCCTGTGTTGAGTGCAGAGATTTCTTTTTTTTTTTTTTAAGATTTTATTTATTTATTTGACAGAGATCACAAGTAGGCAGAGAGGCAGGCAGAGAGAGAGGAGGGGAAGCAGGCTCTCCGCTGAGCAGAGAGCCCGACACGAGGCTCGAACCCAGGACCCTGGGATCATGACCTGAGCCGAAAGCAGAGACTTCAACCCACTGAGCCACCCAGGTGCCCCAAGTGCAGAGATTTCTTAAAAATAAGTCACAAAAAAACTTTAAATATTAGATAAAACATGACTGCCTTGGATTTGATAATAAAAGTCAGAATAAACAAGCCAATTTATAAGTGAATCAGTCCCACTAGCTTTGTCCTTTTCCCATGAAAGGTTCCGGTGCTCCATGTCGTGTGCAGTGTACGAAAAATCACATCACTGCCGAGCTTTCACCTCAGTCAAAGCAGGTGTGTGTAGAGTACGAGAGGGAGGAGACCATGGTGAGTCCTTGGGTGGTACCTTCACACATCCGTGCAATTCTTCAGGAGAGTCACGGTTCCCTTCTACAGGTAAGCGCTGTTCCCCATCTCCGTCTGCCTGTGATTTCCGTGTTCTCCCGTTGTTGTTGTTGCTTATTGTTCTCTGTGGGGTGTGGAGCTCCTGCAAGACTGAAGCAGTCTTTCAAAGCATCTACACTTTTGGCTTAGTATTCTAGCATTTGTCTTTCAGAATTTTCCTTGAATTTGTATTTTCCTTTCAACTAAAGAATAACAAAAAAAGTAAGAACAGATAATTGTACTACAAGTATAAAAATCCATCGTGTCCATTCTTCAGACCTGGTGCCAGCATCTAGTTGTGTCAGATGATGTTCAGCCCATGGTCACTCCAGATGTGCTGGGCAACCACCGCCCTAGTTTGCTTCACCAGTTGGGGGATGAGCAGCCCTAGAAACTTTGGAAAGCTTAGTTCATGTTCCATTTATTGTTTTTCTCAGGCTCAGATCACAACTTACTGCCTTTCTTAATTTGATAGGACTTGTCAGCCGTTGAGGAAGAGCGAGAGCCTCCTTCCCACGGCATGGACAGCGTGTCTGAGAGCACCGGCAGCATCCTCAGCAAGCTTGACTGGAAGGCCATTGAAGACATGGTGGCCGGTGTGGAGGACAAGAGCCTGTCTGTCCACCGGGCCTGGGACCTGTAAGACCTGAGTATCTGTTGCCAAGCAAAGCCCGGCACCTCAGTGGTAGTCGTTCTGAAAGATTTGTGTGTTTGAAAGAGAGAAGCAGTGAAGGGAGCCATGTGTACACACCACCAGCAACCATATCATTACCCAGATTAGCCATGGCAAGAGGGAAAATAAACGCTTCTCAATAATTTCGCCTTCATGGGTAAAGGGTTGTTTAACTATAGATCTGTTGCATGCTTTTGCATTTGACCTATCCTTAGACACCATTTTTTTAAATGATGAAAAAATGAAAAGTAACTTTCAAGTTTACATAATATTTAAGTTACTTTCAATAAAAAAATCTCTTTTGTCTTCTTCTTTACTATCTCCTGAGTTTTGAGAAACAAACTTATATGGATAATTGAGGGGAATAAGAAAGTCACAATCTCACCCCGAGACTCAATAACAAACTCCGTTTCAGAACACGGCCTAAAATTCAGCTGGGCAGGCCTGGTCCTGGAGTGAAAAGAAACCAACCACCTTCCACCTGTCCTGTGCCCTCCAGCCTGCAAAGCCTTGGGAAAGAACCAGGGAGGAATGCTTTGCGTGGCAAATAGGACTCCTGACTCCAGAAGGCTCATGTGAACTTTGTAAAGACCATGGTGTGGAGACCTGGGTAGTTTCTGGTGTTGCCCCCAAATAATGTCATAATGTTGGAGATAATTTTAATGAGGAGAAACTAAAAACCTTCATTCATTTGTCAATTTTTGGCATAATATCAAAGACTATTGTCTGAAAAAGCAGTTCAATGTGCCTCCTTTTCCAGCTACAGACCTGTGTGGGCCCAGATGTTTTTATGTCCTTCAGCCACAATAACATCCTGCAGGCCGTGCACAGAAGCACGTATGAGAATTCTGCCATCTTCCATTAAAGCCAGACATTCAGGAGACTTGTAAAACTATAAAACAGTGCTACTCTTCCCACTAAGTTTTGTTTTGGAAAATAGTTACCTTTGTAAATATGTGTTATAAACATTGAATGGGAGGTGCCCGAGTGGCTCAGTTGGTTAAGTGTCTAACTCTTGATTTTGACTCAGGTCATGATCTCAGGATCGTGAGATCCAGCCCCATGTTGGGCTCCATGCTGGGCATGGAGTCTGCTTAAGGTTCTCCCTCTGCCCTCTGCACACGCGTGTGTGTGTGTGTACGCATGTGCGTTCTCTCTCTCCCTAAAAAATAAACATTGAATGGGTCACTGTAATTAAAAATATTTAAACACTTTCCTCGGTTTTAATTACTAGCATGATAAATATTCACAGATATACCAACATAAACAAAGCTCTTTAGGACCCTAAATAGTTTTTATGAGTATAAAGAGTTTGAGAACTGATGCTTTAGGGCTAACGGTGTGAACCCTTAACTTACCAACTGGACATTTCACACCACTTCAGAAATAACGCGGTTTACAGTAGTATAATCCCTTTTACCTGCTCCTATTCTGATGTAAACATTCAGTTGCCTTTTAAGGCAATTATCATTTCCAGTACTTTTTCATTTCTTCCTGTAGATCCAAATTTCTATCTAGTAGTTCCCTCCAGCCTCAAGTTCATTAGCATTTCTTATAGTACAGATCTTCTGGCAATTCTCTCAGGTTTCGTTGACGGACTATAGGTTTTACCCTCACTGGAAGGGTGTTTTTCTTAGCCCTTATTCTAGGGTAAGATCTTTTCTTCTAAGATGGGCCTTTCTGGTGTCTCGATTGGATGCCTGGAGTCTTACTGAGGTACCAGCAAGGTCTCTCCACTCTGGCTGGGCTGGCCTCACCCCCCAGCCAGGCTCCACCTCTGGTAGGTCTGTTGGCTCTCGACCTTGTGGTCAGTGCTCTCGGGTCTGCCTCAGGTACACGCGTACTAATACGAGCAGCTCAACCCTGTCCGGGTCCACAGGCTTCTGGGGGTCCTCCGTGCAGCGTCCTTCCCCCTGTGGCCCCGCCCTGCAGATTCCTGCTACTGACGGCCCTGAGCTCTGCCTCTGCAGCTGAGTCGGACCACGTGGCGCGCCTGGACTCTGGCTCATTATGTTGCGGTCACTGGAATACTGTCCTCAAGCAGGCACCGAGGCATTCACAAGACGACTTACTCATGAGTCGCCCTTCTCTCCAGGAGACTTTTGTGCTGCACATTGTCCAACACCTGCCAGCTTTATGGTTGAGCCAGGCAGGCGAGTCGGTAGCGGGTCCTCTGTCGCAGGTGGAAGTGGAAGTCTTCTGGGGAACATCCATATAGTAAACCTGAAAATGAGGAAGGAACAAGGGCGGAGACTGTCAGCAGAGGACAGATAATCCTAGGTAGTCTCAACCTGTAGACTGAGAACGTCTTCAGTCTTCAAAAAAATTGCAATATGATGGGGCGCCTGGGTGGCTCGGTGGGTTAAAGCCTCTGCCTTTGGCTCAGGTCATGATCCCAGCGTCCTGGGATGGAGCCCCACATTGGGCTCCTTGCTCAGCGGGGAGCCTGCTTCCTCCTCTCTCTCTGCCTCTCTGCCTGCTTGTGATCTCTTGTCTGTCAAATAAATAAATAAACCTTAAGAAAAAAATTTTTTAAATTGCAATATGATGATTTTGCTTAGTGTATCTGAACACGGAAGACTCATCCAAATGAGCATTTTAGCTCCTTCATGCATGGACTAAAGAGAAGCAGTTTCCACCTATAGGTTTTAAACAGCATGCTTGGGAAATGCCTCTAGTTATTAAAAGTGTTCCCCAATTTCTCAAAACTGAATCTTTGCTTACATTTTTATTAAAAAGATAATACAGCATTTAGCATGATGTATCATAAACCAAAGTGTTCTGGCTGAGCTTGGAATCCACCAGCAAAGGAAACTCAAAGTTTCTGCCAAGAAGCTATATACGTGGATCTAGATTTAAAACATTGACTTGGGGCCCCTGGGTGGCTCAGTCAGTTAAGCATTTGTCTTAGGCTCTGTCTCTCTCAAATAAAAATCTTTAAAAAAAATAAACACTGACTTCAGACTTCCGTGCTTTCTCACTTCTCCACCCACTGTTTCCAGCCAGAGTCCATAATCGATAAGTGGTTGGACTAATGACAAGCCATTGTTACTTACACAATTTTCCATCTGTCAACAATTCAAATAATTATTAGGTACATGCTTTGTGTCCTGCTTAGCTTTCCTCTAAGAAATCAAACCTTGAATCTTGCTGAGGAAATACAAGAAAAAGGAAAATGTACTTGATAATTGCTCAGAAGTGACACTGGGTAGCCCTCTAGAACTCCACTTTCCTTTAAGCATTGCGTACACCTTGACCATTTGTGTTCAGCATCTGGACTATGGCCCTTTGCCAGTAAGGACACCCTGGTGGAAACTAATGCTTTAGTTTTCATACAAACACTGAGTCTGGGGAATAAGTGAGAGGAAAAAGTCCTTATTAGCTAAAGTTGGTTTATAAGTTGGGAATGGATGGCCTAGACTTTTCCTATATGTGTGGGATGGGGGCCAAGATCTGTGACAGAAGTTGCCTAGCTGGAGGGAAAATTTCTCTATAGGGTTTAAAAAATAATGATCCCAGGCAGGAGTCCAGCTTTCTAACTGATTACCGTAGAGCAGAGGTCAGCAAATCTGACCTACTCTCTGCTTCTGGAAGTAAAGGTGTTTGTTTTGTAAGCAGGCGCCATGCTCAGAGCAGATCCCAATGCGGGGCTTGAACTTGCGACCCTGAGATCAAGACCTGAGCTGAATTTGGTTCTGGTGCTTAACCAACTGAACCACCCAGGTGCCTTGAAATAGTTTTACTGAAACACAACCTGCACTGTGTCGATGGCAGAACTGAATAGTTGCTACACAGACTATATGATTTTTCAAACACTAAAATACTTTCTGGCCTTTTAGAAAAAAAGTTTCAGCAGATGAAATCTACCTATACACTCAGAACTTCAATAAACTTTTTTTTTTTAAAGATTTTATTTGACAGAGAAAGGGAGAGATCACAAGTAGGCAGAGAGGCAGGCAGAGAGAAAGGGGGAAGCAGGCTCCCCGCCGAGCAGAGAGCCCAATGTGGGGCTCGATCCCAGGACCCGGAGACCATGACCTGAGCCGAAGGCAGAGGCTTTAACCCACTGAGCCACCCAGGTGCCCCACAATAAACTTTTTAGTACTTTGCTCTAAAACCTGAATGGACACTTAGGTATCACCAGACACATAGAGAAAGACTTCATCATGACAGGGAGAATACAAGTTAAGTGGGCAAAATAATAGAACGGATTATGTAGGAAATAGATGTGGCTTATTTATTTTAATGTAATCTCTACACCCAATGTGGGGTTCTACAGACGAGTCAGCTAGGCACCCTTCAAAGAAATCTTTCTTTAAAACAAGTTGGGAAACTCCATGAGAGAGGAAATTCTATTCTTACATTTCTGTGAGGTTGTTTCTGTTAATATTTTTATTTCTGATTGGTGAATGTCAAGAGTTAACATCAATTCCCATGTTTAAAATGAGTGCAGTCTAGGAGTTAAAAACCAAGTGAAGGGCCACCTGGCTTGCTTAGTCAGTGGAGCGTGTGACTTGTGATCCTTGGAGTTCTCAGTTTAAGTCCCACATTGGATGTAGAGATTACTTAAAAAAATAAAACCTTGGGACTCCTGGGTGGATCAGCCATTAAGCATCTGCCTTCAGCTCAGGTCACAATCCCAGAGTCCTGAGATCGAGTCCCACAAGAGGCTCCTTGCTCACTGGGAAGCCTTCTTCTCCCTCTGCTTCCCCCCAACTTGGACTCTCTCAAATAAATTCTTAAAAAAGAAAAAAAAAAAGCTTAAAAAAAAAAAAAACCCAACAACGAGCGGCACCTGGGTGGCTCAGTGGGTTAAGCCTCTACCTTCAGCTCAGGTCATGATCCCAAGGTCCTGGGATCAAGCCTTGCATCAGGCTCCCTGCCCAATGGGAAGCCTGCATTCCCTCTTCTACTCCCCCTACTTGTGTTCCTGCTCTTGCTGTTTCTCTCTCTGACAAATAAATCTTTAAAAACAAACAGAGTGTATCTGTGGGGCACCTGGCTGCCTCTCAGTCAGAAGAGCATGAGACTATCGATCTTGGGGCCATGAGTCTGAGACCCTGTTGGGTGTAGAGATTACTAAAACAAAACAAAATAAAACCCAAGCAGGTGTGTTTGTGACTTCATTCTCTCTGTCCCTGTTCTTAGTGCTTTTGAGTGATGGACAGCAATGTCTCCTTCAGTAGGCTGAGCAGATTAAGTATTTACCTTGTAAAATCCCACACGACAGA